TAAAAAAAAAAAAAAGCTAAAATTACTGAATTTTATCTAATTTTCTAATTAAACTTTTACTCTTTTAGGAATTGGCCAAGGTGTTCCTGTAGTGGCTCTGATATTTGAGGGTGGGCCAAATGTTATACTCACAGTTCTAGAATACCTTCAAGAAAGTCCCCCTGTTCCTGTAGTTGTTTGTGAAGGAACAGGCAGAGCTGCAGATTTGCTAGCTTATATTCACAAACAAACAGAAGAAGGAGGGTAAGTATATTTGTATAGCAAATTTTAATAACCTGATTGAAGAGTCTTGTGGTCTTTAGAGTATTAGGTTACTTTTAATGGTTTATGAATATGAAAATCTTGAGTTCAACACAACATTTTGTTAAGGCTTGAGGAAATCGCCTACTCATACATTATTGGAATGAAGTAAAATATGGTTTTTTTGTATTAATAGAAGAAAGTTGTTGGCTATAGAAGCACACATCTTCTGATCCAATAGTTTATATCTGGGAATTGTTTCTACAGATGTTCAGCTGTTATAGGGTTATTTGTATGAGTAAGAGATTGGAATAAAGTAGAACATCCATCAGAAAAAGACTAGATAAGTAAATTGTGGGATATCTACAAAATGGGCAGTTTATAGCTGAATAAAGATGGTACTTTTTGCTAGATTTATGAATATTATCAAAATGTCTACCTAGAAAAAAAGAAGATGTAGAGCAGTGTATAAATTGTGCCACTCTTTTTTAAAAATATTTATTTTTTAGTTATAGGTGGATACAATATCTTTATTTTATTTTTATATGGTGCTGAGGATCGAACTCAGTGCCTCACACGTGGTAGGCGAGCGCTTCACCTTTGAGCCACAACCCCATCCCAATTGTGCCATTCCTTATGTAGAGAAAGAGGTGCTAATTATTTATATATATAAAAAGAGATCTTGGAAAGTCGTACAAGCTAATCATAATCAATAGTAATAGTAAAGGGCTGAGATGGAATTGGGAAGATGAAAGATAGTGGAAAGGATGAAAGATATTTGTAGCACAGTGGTAGAGCACTTGCTATGAGTTTTCATATTTTTATGTTTTCTCTATTTTTGGCCATATACATGTATTAACCTATTCATAAAAAGAAAAATGTAAATACATTCAAGACATCTTGGCAAAATATTACTTTATACACCATAATATTTTAAAATTATCTTCACGTATTATCTTATAAAATGTAAGTACTGATTGCAGCTTATATTGTATTTTAAAAATTATAAACTAGCCAGATGCAGTGATGCATGCCTATAATGTAAACAGCTTGGAAGGCTGATGCAGGAAGATCCCTAGTTCAAAGCCAGCCTCAGCAATTTCTCAAGGCCTTAAGCAACTTAGACCATCTTAAATAAAATAGAATATAAAAAGGGCTGGGATTGTAGCTCAGTCAATCCCTGAGTTCAGTCCCTGGGTACTTCCCACCCCGCCATACACACAGAAACACATACCACACACACACACTAATTCAAAGAGAAAAATAACTCCATTTCTCTTTTTTTCCCTTAAGACTTATAGTGGATGTCTCATGAAGAGAAAATAATTCTGCCCATGTCAGCTATTTAATAGTAATAATCTCATAAACAATAGAATATGAAACTAGTGCATTAAGTTATATTTCCTCTTATACTAGAAGTCTTCCTGATGCAGCAGAGGTTGATATCATTTCAACCATCAAGAAAACATTTAACTTTGGCCAAAGTGAAGCAGTTCATTTATTTCAAACACTGATGGAGTGCATGAAGAAAAAAGAGCTTGTAAGTATATTTCAGCAGAATAAGGCTTTTTGTTTCTTCCAAAGCACATTCTAAATTAGTGAGATACTTTTGTTTCTAATTTGGATTTTAAATTTTTAAATCTTCTTTAACCAAGTAAAATGTCATTCATTTATTAGTCTTTTCAGATAACATAGTGATAAAGAAGGACTGTAGTTTTTTATATGGTATTTAAACAGTATATTTCCATGTTTCTTTTAGAAAAAGTTTCTTAACTGGGTCTCAACAGATTATTTTCAATATGTGTGTGTGTGTGTGTGTGTGTATACATGTATATATAAATAACTGTAAATACTTCTTGATGGCTTTTCTAACAATAAGTGAAAAAAAATTTTAAACAATTTTATTCTGAGGGAGTGGTTAAGAATGTGGTATGTTAAATATCAGTGCTACTTAGTTTTAATCATGTTTAAGTTTTTAGAGATAAAAATTTTGAATAGTCTATAAATAGATGATAACCTTTGATTTGCTGTCTACTTCCATGGTAGGTTTTATACACTGAAATGAAGTCAGTTAAAAATTTGTATTTGGGTTAAAATAATCTTTTATTTTATGAAAAATATCTTTAGATAACATGGTGTTACATTTTAGGAAATCTGTAGGCATTTTCAATAAAAGAATTAAACTAAACAAATACTCATCATTTAAGAATTCATGTATTACTTGAATGGGTTTTTGCTCTGTATAACAAATAGCAGGATTTATTCTTACAAGTAAACTGTAGACTCACTCTAAAGTTTCTTATTCTGATAACTGACATAAGATAGGTTAAAAAAAACAGTATGAAACCAAATATTTTCAATATATTTGCTATTGTTTTTGGTAAATAATAAATGATAAGTCTTAATTTTTTGGATTTTTTTTTTGAGGGTTGATTGATGTTTTTCTTGCCTCCTCCCCACAAATATCAACCTGCCTACCTACCCCTCAACCCCCACCACAGTACACCTTAAAATTACTTTGTTTTATGATGTCTTACATTTAAAAATATAAAGACATAATATTATGAATTAATATTTAAATAGATCACTGTGTTCCACATTGGATCAGAGGAACATCAGGATATAGATGTAGCAATACTTACTGCACTACTAAAAGGTAAGATTTTAAAAATTGTATCTTTAATATCTTGAAAATATAGCCTATTTATATAAGGTAGGATTTTAAAAACTTGGTTAAATGCTTGGAAAGTAAATTTTTCAGTAATTTTTCTTTGTGAAAGACACAATCTTGGTTTTTGTTGGCAGTAAGTTAGCTTTTGTTTTGATCTTGTAGAATTATTATTGTTTATAGCAAGGTGTATGCCTGCAGAATTTTAATTATCCCATTAAAATTAAGTATTTAAAGGTGATAGTATTTAAAAAAATACCATAATTTATATCATCTTGGGATCAAAAGATCATAAGTGACAGGAAAACTCGAAACCATGAAAGAAGAGTAATTAGAATGATAAAAAAACAAAATTCAGGTAAAAAGAGAGCCTCATCTGCATGTCGTATTTGCCATATACTTTCTGTGTGCTGACCACTGTTCTTCAGTGGTTTATATTGCTCATCTTGTTTTATCCCTGTAGTATCCCCAAAGGATACATTTCCTTTTATGTTTCTCATTTAATAAATGAGGAAAGTAAGGAGCAGAAATTTTAAAGTGGAGGAATCTCAAAGAGCTTTTCAAAATTGTTAAGAAAAAGATGAATACCTTATGGGAAAAATGAGTCAAAATTTATGTAAATGATACTGGAGGAAGAATTCAAATACTTGGAAGAAAGATGGTCAACATTATAGTATGAAAGTAAAAATAAATTTTAAATTCTTGTGCTCTTGGTGGATGATATAAGCTTTCTGAAACATTTGGGGAGTATATAAAAAAACCTTAAAGTGTGTATGCTGTGTTCATCAATTTGGTTCCTAGAAAATCATCCTATATAAGTAATCAAACATATACTAAAATATATTTGGTAAGATATCATACATAGTAAGGTACTCGAGTAGATATGTGTATGTGTATACTGTTGAGAAACTAAGATATCATACATAGTAAGGTACTCAAAACACAATACTGAACACTTTGCATAATATCCCATTTTCAGATAAACAGAAGTATATGAATGCACTTATATATTTACAGAAAAGGACATGAAAGGATATTTTTTCAGAATCTTAACGGCCAGCACTGTCTCTGTAATAGAGATAGATCATCAACATTTTCTTCTTACTTTTCTGCTTTCTGAATTGTTTACAATGAATGAGGCTGTGTAGTTTCTGTAGTTGGAAAATAAAAGCTTCCATACTGAGGTTATTCTTACCTCTCTGGGGCAGGTATTTCTGAGCAATGTCTGACACCAGATGTGTAAGTTAATTAAAGGGTGGTAGGGAGATTTCTTAAGTGTTAATATATTAATGGAGATAAACTTGCAAACTATTTTTTTTTATTCGATTAGGTACTAATGCATCTGCATTTGACCAGCTTATCCTTACATTGGCATGGGATAGAGTTGACATTGCCAAAAATCATGTATTTGTTTATGGACAGCAGTGGCTGGTATGTAAATAATCTATATACACATATAATTAAACTCAGTACTACAGGTTTTCTGTATCCATAAGTTCCACAACTAGGGATTCAACTAACCACAGATTGTGTACTATGTGGTTAGTCCGACAATGATGGCATCTGTACTGAATACGTACACACTTTTTTCCCTTGTCGTTATTCCTAAACAGTATAGCATAACAACTATTTGCGTAATATTTACATTATGTTAGGTATAAGTAATTTAGAGATAATTAAAGTATACAGGAGGGTATGTGTATGTTATATGCATTTAAGTTTACATAAATAATGTGAGCATCCATGAATTTCAGTAGCCAAGGGGTCCTGGAATCAACCCTTCACAAACAATAAGGAACAACTATAATAACAAAGTATTTGATGAAACTGTGACCTAACTTCACATTTTACCTTTTTGCCGCAGGTGCAGAGTTCATTTAGCTAAACATTTCTACAATATCCAGATCTATTTAGGTTTTAAAAGTTATGTTTGCCTCTTGATAATCTTGCATGTTATAGGGTATGTTGGTATCTAAAAATTCTAGAATTGAAGAGCCTTGGAACTTTTACTCATATATTCATTGGATGTTTATATCTGTTCTTTCCACAGCCTCTCCATTCAACGAAATGGGAACAATAATTTTGCAGCTTCTGAGATGAGAAACTTTGGTGTCATCTTTTACTTTTCTCTTTCTCATATACTCCAATCTAGTTCCATCAATAAATCTTTATACACACACACACACACAACTCTTTCAAAATATCAATTTTTATCATCCTGATTGAATCTCTTATCATCCTTTTGTTATTTCAGTAGTACTCCTTTTGATTTTCCTGCTTTTATTCTTCCTGTCATTTTACAGACAGAAGATGGATCACATCCCATTTATTCGGAGCACAATCCAGAGCCTTTATGATGACCTATAAAACTTTGTATCATTTGTTCTATTACTACCTCTCTTACATACTACCACTGTTCCTTTTGCTCTCTTTTATAGCTTTGTTGGCCTTCTTGGTATTGTTTTTGAACACACTAAGCATACTCATATCTCTAGGCTTTTGTTGCTGTTCTTCTGTCTGGAACATTCTCCCCTAGATATGCACCTGGGTTTACTTCCTCATCTCTTTTTGGACTGTAACCAAATGTCTCCAGTTAAACTTTCTCTGTCTACTCTATTTTGGTAGTATTCCCTTATGTCAGCATTTCCTGTGTTCTTCCTTGCCTTTTTTTCTTTTTTTAAACCCTCTAGCATTTATCACCGTCTGAAAAAAACATATAAATTAGCTATCTATTTATTTATGATTTATCTTTTTACTCCTAGAAAGTAAATTTTACTAGGGCAAGTGTATCTTTCAGTTTTGTTTACTGCTATGTACACAACCTTGTAAAATAATGAGCACTTGACAAATTCTTAATACTTGTCTGAGTCCCTAGGAGGGGGATGAAATGTTCAACTGTATTATCAGCCTTTATAATAGAGAGGATAAGCCAGATCTCTTTCATCTATATAATAGAAACAGCAAATTGCAGAAAAGTATGCATCATATGATTGTAATTGTGGCAAATTCTCTTTATGAATACACAAACATCTGTGCCTATCTACATGTACTGTCATGGTATCATTTCTATTTTTTGTTTTTGGTAGTACTGGGGATCAAACTCAAGGCTTCAAGCATATTTGAAAAGTGCTTTACCACTGAGCTATAAGCTCAGCCCCTTAGAATTTTAGATCTAGTAGTGGAATATGGCTGAAGAGATGAAGGCTAGCGGAAGATAAGTTTTGTTTTGTTTGATTTTTTTTTAGAAAAACCATATGAGTGTATGGTAATTTCTGTATAGTAATAAAGAAACTAGTTACTTTCCCCCTTGGAGGACTGTAGAGAAAGAAATTCATGTTAATCTCTTGCAGTAAAACTCAAAAGTTGTAAACTAACTTTTTATTTATTTCATTGGATTTTTTAGTTTCCTCACATATAAATGATTAGATAAAGCGTTTGTCTTGCATATATATGTTCATATATAAATCCATATGTCTCATGGATTTGTCCTTCATAATGTTAGATTTATTTTATTTTGTGCTCCTTACTTAAGAGTTTACATGTCAGTTGTTTTATTTTTTTTTTTAATTATTTGGTATACATTGAGGAACTGCTGCTTACAAAGCAGATAGATTTTTTTTTTTAAACTGCATCTTTTTTCCCTCATGTGAAAATTTAGCCAAGCTCTTACGTTGTTCTGGGATAATACTGATAAACTCAATTAGATAGAATGTTTCATTTTTTAAAAAACGATGTTTAAGGATTAAGAATATAGCTTATGGGTAGAGTGCCTGCTTAGCATGTGTGGGGCCCTGGATTTAGTCCCTAATACTACCAAAAAGAATAAAAACAAGAATTTTATTAGGCCTATTTTATTATACCAAAATGAAATTTCAGAAATAATAAATAAATTTTTTAAAAACAAATATGATGCCCTGATTTTAATAAGTCAGAGAAAAGTGATCAGTACAGAATTATTCAAGAAAGGCAGCATTTTAAAGACATAAGTTAGATACTTGCACTTACTATAAAAGAATCAGTGTCAACGTTGTAATCATGCATATGAAGTCATACAAGTATGTTATTACTTATGTATGTTATTATTATGTGATTTAAGTACCATTGGGGAACAGAAAAATATCCCTTGTAAGTATAGGATAAGGAAAGAACAGAGAGAACCAAGTGGGCACTAGAGTAATTTTAAATGATAATGCTAGAAAGAGCAATAACAAATCAGAATAATTTATATGTGATAGATAGAAAGAGGAAATAATGTTAAATAAAATAGGAATAAACACACCATGGCAAATTATAGTCTATTATGTAGAGAAAATTGAAGTATTCTCATAATAAATTGGTCTTATTTTTAAGGATAATATAAAATTTTTTCATGTTAGAATGGAGTGGTGAAAAAAATCATAGAAAACGTACCTTCCATCATGAATTTTCATCATTAACACTCATTTCATTAGTATATACTTAAAAAGATCTTATAGAGACCTATCCTTTGCTAGGTTATGGAAATTGAAGTAGACTGGGGAAATAAATAAAAATATAAGCTGCTGTAGAGAAATTGTGTAGTTATGTGGTAAATTTCTGAAGACAGAATATGATTTAAAAATAACAGGTGAAGGGCTGGGGTTGTGGCTCAGTGGCAGAGCTATTGCCTAGCATTTGTGAGGCAGTGGGTTCAATTCTCAGCACCACATAAATAAATAAAGTAAAGGTCCATCAACAACTAAAAAATATTAAAAAAAAAAAAAAAAAAGACAGGTGAAGAAACAATGAATTTTGAAACTGATTTTGTTACAAAGACTTTTTATCATATAGTGCCACAATACTAAAAATATAAAGCAGTTATAGGAAATGTTATTAAAACTTTTATTAATGATACTCAATAAAATCTCTATACATCAAGTGCCTACACTAATGTGTTAGTATTTTTTTTTTAATTTTTTTTATTTTTTAATTTTCGGCAGACACAACATCTTTATTTGTATGTGGTGCTGAGGATCGAACCCAGGCCGCACGCATGGCAGGCGAGCGCGCTACTGCTTGAGCCACATCCCCAGCCCATGTGTTAGTATTTGATAGGGAAGTCTGTCGAAGTTTGTAAAATAGGCTTATAAAAGTAACAGCTGATATGCTGACTGATAGATCTGTATTAAGCTGAAATGTCACAGGTTGTATTGCTGTCAAAAAATGTGATTTTCCCCTAAAGGTGAATAATTTCTATTAAAATTATGAAGAAGATTAAGTACAATCTTGTCTGACTTGTAATTGTATTTTTGAACTATTTATTGTACAAAAATTAACACAGAATATTTTGTTCATATATAAAATAGAAGTCTTTAATTTTTTACTCATGAGCATCTAACAGGGCATATAATGTTTTATGATGTGATACAGTTCCTATTTGTTTGATATTGTTCATCATATCACGTGATTTCTGGTATCCCTTGGTCCTCTCCTTAAAAGTTAGTAATGGCCCCGACTTAGAGAAATGACTCATCCAAAAACTTTCCTAAACATTGAGAACCATTGCTCTAAGATATTTCCACTCCAGATTTAATTGATAATGTACTTTGTGTTTTTTTTTTTTCCTTATGTAACACTTGATCTCTTACAGAAATAGCTTTTATGGAATATTCTTTTGGAAAAAAGTATTTTTTCTTCAAGAGAGGTTTTTTTATCTGTCTCTAAATACCTGATTTCTTCCTAGTCTTTCACTATTTTGTATCTGTCCAATTGTGTTTTAAAACTGTTTGAGAACAAATAAGTATAAATTCTAAGGACTTAAATTTTTAAGAAGTCATGATAATTAGTACATGTGAAATGTATTTATTAATTTTGATACTCTCTTAGGTTGGATCCTTGGAACAAGCTATGCTTGATGCTCTTGTAATGGATAGAGTTGCATTTGTAAAACTTCTTATTGAAAATGGAGTAAGCATGCATAAATTCCTTACCATTCCAAGACTGGAAGAACTTTACAACACTGTAAGTCTATGATCAAATTCTTTGTTATGAATTACATATTATTGTTTTATCATCTTTGGGAAATTTCATTTTACCTGAACATGTCCATTCCTATTGATAAAGCCTTCAGTGTCTTGCTGGTTATATGGAAAAAAATACAGCCAGTCTTAGTATGGATTGTTGTATGATACTCTTAATGTTTTCCTGTTTTACCAGCTTTTCCCTATCTCCATAGCCACATATGAAAGTAATGCAGATTTAATAACTATCTCCTAGAGGATAAACTGCTTTGAGTCTGGTTATGTTTCTTTTGACTCTTTTGTCTAATGGATAAATTACATATTATTTTTCCTCTTTTTGGTTTTTACATTCATGGATTTGATTTTATGTCCCTCTTTTAGTTTTTCATTTTTCTTATAAAAGGCTCCTGAAAACTTTTTAGTTGTAATAAAGCCCTTTCTCGTTTTATTTCAAATTTCATATCCCTAACATTAGAGTAAATACTACCCTTTTTGTGGTTTTGTATGCTACCAGTATGAATTTAACTGAGCTATGCTTTGAGAAGCACTATGACCACATCCTTATTTCATAATGTTGACCTCTCTACAAAACCATTTGACATTCATTAGTTTCCACCTATTTCTCTCCTTTTCATTCCCAATGTCTTTGTACTACTCAATCATTGCTTGTCTACTTCACTTAAACTACTTCAGTAATCATTTCTCTTTATCTGTTTATTTAATCTTTCCTCAAATCAGTTCTTTATTTTTATAGTGACATTTTACTATATCTTTCTGCAGTTTGGAAACCTGTGATGGCCACCTGATGTGTGTATAATAGTACTCATACCTTTAGCTTGATTTTCAAAAATCTTGACATTTTGCTCTAGATATTCTTACTTTATCTTTCCCCCCTACTTCAACCCTTGCCTACTCCTACCTCCAAATACTGGGTGTTCCAACTATATTGTCTACCTGCTACTTTCTTAAAAAAAACAACAAAAAACTTTTTAAAAAAGCATTTTCTGTTTAAATAGTGCTGGTTTGTTTTCCTCTACTGATTTATTAGAATTTTATTCATTGTTTAAAAACTTAGTTCAAATGCCATTCGAGTACTAGCCAGTCCTATTAACATAGTTAAGAAAACTTATGTTTTCTCCTGTGGATTGTAATTTTTTTTTGAGTAGGGTTTATGCTTTTATTTCCAACCATTCCCCTTCCCTTTTATGGGGTCCAGTACAGTTACCTTAAATTTTGTTGTTTTCTAATTTAGATATAAAAATTAAAAGGGTTATTCATTGCGAAGTAAGGTTTCTCCCTGAAGTGTAAAGCAAATATAAAATAATAAAAATTAAAATTGATCTTATTAGCAAGGCATGAAATTTTTAGAAAATTGTGTAACTTAAAGAGTTAAGATACTATAAGCTTCAGTTATTGAAAAGATTTTCAAAAGTTTGAGTATTTATAACATGATAAAAAAAAGTTAAAACATCAAACTTTTGGTGTCAAGGTTCTTCTACATAAGAATTATTGAGGACTTTAAAGTGCTGTTCTAAAGAGATTTTACTTATGTGTATTGGTAAATATTAGAATGTGAAACTGATTCTCAAACATTTCTCAATTTATACTAATGTAACAATAATAAACTCAATACATGTTAACATAAAATTATTGTGTGTCTGTCTAGGGATTGAATGCATGCAAATTCACAAATTCTACCATAGAGCTACATCCGCAACCAATAGCTTATTTTTAAAGAAAATTAGTAAGAAAACAATTTTACATTTTACAAACCTCTTTAATGCATGACCTCATAAAAGCAGTGTGGATTCTCATGTTTGCTTCTGAATTTAGTCTTATAATATCACGGGTCAAAAAGCCTCTGAAAAGGGTTGGGACTACGGCTTAGCGGTAGCGCACTTGCCTGGCATGTGTGAGGCAATGGGTTCCATTCTCAGCACCATGTATAAATAAATAAATAAAGAACTATCAACAACATATATGTATACACACACACACTTTTTAAAAAAATTTTTGAAAAATTCCACTGAACATTTAAAGACCTGAAAGTGAAACAACAATGCATGTATAATCTTAATATGATTATAAAAATAGTTTTGACCTTTTGACCTACGGACCTCAAAAAGAAGTGTAAGGGGATTCAGGTATTTCCAGATACATTTTGATGTCTGGTGTCTTAACGCATATCCTTGGCAACTTAGCTTACCCTATCTCAAAAATAAAATAGACCTGGAGTGTAGTTCAGTGATAGGAAAGGACTACGGTATATATAGCTCAGTGGTAGACCACCCCTGGTTCACTCTCTAGTACCGCGCCCCACAGTATTAAGTGTATTTCTTTGTGATTATATACTGTTAGACAAATATAGTGAAACTTCATAGTATTCTAAAATCATCTAAAATACTTCATTTAACTAAGAAGACATGTTTATTTTAAAAAGTTATGTATAAGAAAAAATAGGCAGAGATGACCTAGTAGACAGTAAGCCGGATGCAGTGGCACATGTCTGTAATCCCATCAACTCAGGAGGCTAAAGCAGGAAGGGGTTTGAGGTCAACCTTAGCAACTTTCTTGAAAATCAAATTTTTAAAGGGGGCTTAGGGATGTAGCTCAGTGGTAGAGTACCCCTGGGTTCAACTTCCAGAAAAAAGAAGGAAAAGGAGAACAGAACAAATAAGATAGAATATAGTTATATGCAGTATCAATTATGGTAATCTTAAATATTGTATGGAATTTAAAAACCATGAACATGTAGGAAAATAATTTTTTTCCAAAGAAAGAGGGGTCTGTGTATCTGGATTTGAAATTGTATTCCCAAGGAGATATGATCAAAATGGAAAAGTAGATTGATTGATTATTCTAAGAACCTTATTAATAATTAAAAAATTAATAACATGATGGGATTAAATCTCATTTGATAAATTTTTTTTCTTTCAGTTGGTTTCATTGTTGTTCTAACTTTAATATATACATCCTTACATTATGTATGTGTATATTTTTAAATTAATAATTCTACTTTTGGAGATTTAAACCTGAGAAACTTTATAATCAAGTAAACTAGGAATACTTTTTCCCCCCAAAGTGTGTGTGTCATAGTTGTGCATAGTAGTGGTTTGTTGTTACATATTCATGTGTGCACACAATATAACAATATAATTTGGCCAGTATCATTCCCCAGTATTTCCCCTTTCCCTCTCATATTGTCTCCCCATAGTCCATCTTCTCTGTTCTACTGATCTCCCTTTGATTTTCATGAGATCCTCTCCCCACTTTCTTTTCCTTTTTCCTCTCTAAACATTTGACAGTCTTCTGAGTTTGACTTATTTCACTTAACATTATGTTCTCAAGTTGCATTCATTTTGCTGCAAATGGCATAATTTCATTTCTTTATGGCTGAATAAAACTCTCCATTTGATAATTCTTTTAAACAATATTTAAAATACTAAGTTTTTTTTTATTTGTACCACAAAGAATTTATTGCAATAAATTTCACAGGAGTCAGAGCTCTGCGTAAAATGTTTAGAGAAGACACTTTGATCCATTTACCTCAGTCTTCGTGGGGATATATTCCTGAACACTTTTTCAAAATATCGAATGTCCTTAAATTAAGATTACTGTAAAGATAAAACTTGTATCTAGTCTACTTTAATACACAGTATACACAAAGAGAGGATAATGGGGAAATGATTATTAATATAAATGTTAAAGGTTTGTTACCCAAACTATTTAAAATACTCATACAACTTAATGGTTAGAAGGAACAGACATTTTAACAAGAAGGGAATTTACAGCCCTGCCATCAATTAAAGAAATGTAAATTTAAGGTATAATTAATTAATGGGGCTGGGAGTTGTGGTTCTATGGTAGTGTGCTCACCTGGCACGTGTGAATCACTGGGTTCGATCCTCAATCACCACGTAAAAATAAAGTACTTTGTCCATCTACAACTAAAAAAAAAAGATAATGTTGTTGTGACTTATTAAACAAAAATATCACTTTAGTGATACTCTGTGATTATTCATCTTTTTTAAAAAATATATTTTTTAGTTGTTGATGGCCCTGTATTTATTTATTTATTTATCATCTATCTATCTATCTATTTATTTATTTATTTATATGTTGTGCTGGGAATCAAACACAGTGCCTCACATGTAGGAGACAATCGCTCTACCACTGAGCTACAACTGCAGCCAGATAATTATTCACCTTTTTGATAATTTTAAATATAACACTATAAAATGGTTATGTCCTATATTTGTTCTAATTTTAAAGAAATAACTCCAAAATAGTATAATTTGTTTAAGAAGATCCTTATAAGTTCTATAAATAACAAAAAATTTCTTTTAGAAGAAAATAATAGTTTGCTGTTCTTTTTTTTCTCCTTAAAGAAACAAGGTCCAACCAATCCAATGCTATTTCACCTTGTTCGAGATGTCAAACAGGTAAGAGATTGGTTTTGAAAATGTTATTTAAAAAATATCATTTGTACTTTATGTATTTCCAAAAATGTACATAAGTACATTTTTAAAACTGCAATGAAATGACAAGAAAAAATTAGTGCTAAATTTGTGATAAAAGAGGATAATGTACCAGAAACCAAGAAAAAGGGAAGTTTATGAAATTAAGAACAGTTTCCTGAACTTCTCTGGTTATGCAACAGTGTGTTGAACTTTATAATGCTTTTGGTCTGTAAAATAAAAATCATTGATAGAATGTGTCAGCTTTCTCTGTGTTCATTAGAAATTTGTTTCTTAGAAATCTTTCCTAATATAAAGGTCATAAAATGTGGGTATTAAGAGATATACTAAGTGGTAATCTTAATGACTAGGAAAAAAAAGAGTGAAAGTCTCTCTCACCTTTATAAAATAAGATTCATTTTTGGTGGTAACTGAATACACTGTTATATGGGCTAACCTCATTCTATAGTGACTAAATTGACTCATTATTTTTTTTTTTCAAATGGTACTCATATTACATTAAGAAAAACATTGTGAAGTTTCTAAAATTCCTCATTCTTTTGAACTTTTACTTTCTGTGTGCACTATCAAAAAAGCCAAAACTTTATGTGGTTTGTAACTTTAAATTTTTTTTTTTTTTTAGTTGTACACAACACAATACTTTTGTTTTATTTATTGATTTACGTGGTGTTGAGGATTGAGCCCAGTGCCTCACATATGCAAGACAGGTGCTCTACCATTGAGCCATAACCCCAGCCCCTTGTAACTTATTTAATACTAAATTTGTATTCCATAAGAAGAACTTAAACCTTATTATATGTAAGAAATTTTGCTTTACTTTGATTTTTTGCATGAGCTTTTCTAACTTTATTGAAGTATATTTGACAACATGGTAAAATTTATTCACTTCACGTGTATATCTCTTTGACTTACTATTTTAATATGGTACTTATTGCCATAGTCTTAATTTGAGAGCATTATAATACTTCAAAAAGTGACCCTGTACTTATTAGCAGTCACTCCTTTTTCTGTTCCTTTTCTACTCCTCATCTCTGCCTCCTCCCTAGGCAACTATTAATATAAGAATTTGCTTATTTTGGACAGTTCCCATTGATTTGATCTTTTTTTTTTTTCCTTTTAGTAATTAAAGCTCCCCTCCCCTGAAGCTTGAATAACCTTCAGACCAGGAGTTTATAAAACATTTGCATTATGGTTTCCTTACATAGGTCAGCACAAGAAATACAGAACTGGGCAAGGAGTGGGGAGCCTTGCTCAGTGGTACAGCATGTTCCTTGCATGTGGAATGCTCTTGTTCAGTCCCCAGCACCAAATCCCCAGCACTTAGTTATGGAAACAAATATTAACATTGTTACATGGACGGCTATGATAATAAGCTAAATTGTTTTATTTCCATAAGTGGTAAACAATAAAATTCAGTAATTATTTTCTGGTTCATATTAATTATGTTGAGTTTTGTGAGCTTGAGAAATTGTTTAACATGACTTTTTTTTTTTAAGACAACTCACCTTATTTTCCTTAGTTTAAAATGTTTCCTATTAAAGCGTGAAAGCGAAATCTTAGCTCTAAATAGTGTTATAAATGTAGTTGAATCCTGAATAAGGATATAAAAACTTTATGTAATCTTTACTAGAGCCAATATGATTTTTATAATAAATAAATATTTCTGGACCAGTCTGGAAACATAATTAACCTATAACATTATTTTGTAGGAAAATTGCTATGTATAATCATGAAAACAAAACACTTGGCTCTAATAGTTCCATTGCCTCTGTGTTTTTTAGGACAGCAGAGGCATCAAATTGTTATCTTCCTGCTTTAGGCCATATTCCTGTTCTAATCCACGCCTTTGAGACCTTAAAACTTTGGAATTCCCTCTTCTCATAAAAGGAAATAGAGAAATAAGTCATTCTCTTCTCCTATAAAGACAGCCGCTGGCTACTCTAGTTTCCTGAAACGAGTAAATATTTCTCATTTTGGGGAGAGGGCCTAGTCATAGGCATGACATGGCAATATTAAGAAATAACATTCTATTTAATGTTTTATGTTTTAGGGAAATCTTCCTCCAGGATATAAGATCACTCTAATTGATATAGGACTTGTTATTGAATATCTCATGGGAGGAACCTACAGATGCACCTATACTCGGAAACGTTTTCGGTTAATATATAATAGTCTTGGTGGAAATAGTCGGGTATGTGATATTTGTCAGGAATTTTATATATGTATTTAAAAATTAACAAATTTTTTAAGTTAAGAATTAGTTACATTCGAATGGTGAAAGTAACATTGTCTTTAAAAATATAAGGTTTCAAGTAAGGATAAGTAGAAATTTTATAAGCTGTGCATGGTGGTACGTACCAGTAGTCCCAGCTTCTTGGGAGGCTGATGTGGGTAGATTATTGGAGTCGTTGAATTTGAGAACAGACAAGGCAACATAGCAAGACCCCATATCAAAAAAACATGAAAGCAATATTTATAATTGTAATCCTAAATCAATCATTTTGTTTGTGTTCATACATATATATTTGCATATATAAAAATAGTGTTGAATTTTTTACAACATAATATTTAAATCTGCAAAAGTTAATGAGCTTTCATTTTCAGAGATCTGGCCGAAATACCTCCAGCAGTACTCCTCAATTGAGAAAGAGTCACGAATCTTTTGGCAATAGAGCAGATAAAAAGGAAAAAACGAGACATAATCATTTCATTAAAACAGCACAGCCCTATAGACCAAAGGTTTGTTTATTGGTTAAAGAAAATATGTTTATTTAGTTCACCATAGGTACTTAATGTAAATATTATCCTTTCTGGATTTTGATTTTGTTCTTTCTTAATTACTTAGTATTATTAAATAAAAACTATTTGTTTTAGTGGGAATTATCTTTTGGTTTTGGATATTTTATAACTTTGAGTCTATTTTCCCATACATAAATATATTCATTGTCAATTAATGTTTTTGTTGCTTTCTCACATTTATCTGTAATAACCAAATTTTAAAAATTTTCAATCATTTTATTCCATTATCTCCCCCCTGCCCTTTGCAAAGCTGGGTATCCTACCTACCTAGGTCTTCAAATACTCTAGGCAAGTGCCATACCACTGAGCTATAGCTTCAGTTCTTTATTCCATTTTTATTTGATTAATATGTACAACAAATGTATTTTTCAAAGTTTTACTAGTTGAGATATTATGCCCTTTCTTCAGTTGTAGATAACTTATTACAGACATTTTTATTGAAATGAAATTCTTATAAAATGAATTATAAGCAATAATAAAGTTTATAAAATTTTTACTGTTTTGTTTGGGGCAGTTATGAAGTTGAAGAGTAGAACAAAAAATATTTTATAAAATTTTTCACTAATATGAATGTCATGCATTATAATGAGCATTGTAACATTTATTTTCTATTGAAGATTGATACAGCTATGGAAGAAGGAAAGAAAAAAAGAACCAAAGATGAAATTGTAGATATTGATGATCCAGAAACCAAGCGCTTTCCTTATCCGCTTAATGAATTGTTAATTTGGGCTTGCCTTATGAAGAGGCAGGTTATGGCACGGTTTTTATGGCAGCATGGTGAAGAATCAATGGCTAAAGCATTAGTTGCCTGTAAAATCTATCGTTCAATGGCCTATGAAGCAAAGCAGAGTGACCTGGTAGATGATACTTCAGAAGAACTGAAACAATATTCCAAGTAAGTGGCATTTTATCCTTGGAAAACATTTTAAATACAAAATACAGTGTTTGGATGTTACAGTGTTAAGCACTTAATGGAGAAAAATGTATGTGTGTAATTTTATTGATACAATTAAGAAAATTATTTTTTAAATGTAGATATTTTTAAAGACTTGGAAAGAAACTTTTCTGCTTATTTTGGCTTTTATCTTTTTGTAGTGATTTTGGCCAACTGGCAGTTGAATTACTAGAGCAATCCTTCAGACAAGATGAAACCATGGCTATGAAATTACTCACTTATGAACTGAAAAACTGGAGTAATTCAACCTGCCTTAAATTAGCAGTTTCTTCAAGACTTAGACCTTTTGTAGCTCACACCTGTACACAAATGTTGTTATCTGATATGTGGATGGGAAGGCTGAACATGAGAAAAAATTCTTGGTACAAGGTATACCTTAAAAATAATTGGCTTTAAAGTTTATAGTTAGAGCAGAGAAATTAGACTAAAATGCTTTGATTTGTGAGGGTGATAATAGAGGGAGGGACTGCAAGAAGGGGAAAGGGTGGTTGGCATTTTATTCAAAGTGGCATAACTACTTTTTTTTTTTACTCCTGTTCTTTAGTCTTGAATTTTTTTTCAGGTGGATATGATTATTGCCCCTCTGAGATAGCAGCAAGGACAACAAATGAGGAATATTGGCATTTACACTCCTAAACAGCCAGCCATTAAAAGATTTGCTACTTTGTGAAAGGCTGATTTCCAAATTCTAAAATTCTGGACCTAGCTATTAATTTTTTTTGTTACTTTTAAATTATTTTAAGTGTATTGGACAAGTATATCCATTTACCTAGTTGATGTTTATGAATAAGTATATTCATATATCCAGTTTTTAAGGTTAATAATTTGGGGGAAATGGCTGGTCCTTTAGTTTTGTCATAGTGAGATATTGCTTTAAACTTCCATTTTTATTCTTTTATATCTTTTTAATAAGGTACAGAAAGTAGAAGGCAGAAATCAGGCAAGTAGTTTTATCCATAGTGGATAACAAATATTAATCATCTACTAAAAATAATGTTGAAGGATTAACTAACAGAAAACCTCTTGTACAATTATAATTTCTACATGCTTTAGGATTTTGCAAGTAATATGAAAAAGTTTAGAAATAAGCCTTTTTGTTTATAGAGGCACAAGCTGAGTAATCATGTTATGACATGGAACACTTGCAAAAGAGATTTAAGATAAAATTAAGCACATAGCACCTCATAATGCTTGAATTTTGTTTAAACAAAAATATATTTTCTGTATAAATTGTAACTTGATTGTATTTAAAAGACAGGTCTATAATGATTATTAAATCTCTTCAACATGCTCATTATCATAATATCCAAATGTTTTTTATTCCCTAAAACAGTTCAACCTGGGCCTCTTTAAATACAGCATTTAAAAAATGAATTTTTATTTTTTCTGTATTTCTAGGAGCAAAATGGCTAACAATTATAAGATATCTAATGTCTCTTTGCTATTTTTAAAATATTCTTAAAAGTTTGATTTTAAAATGCAAACTTATATGTCTTTAAAAATTTTAGGTGATATTAAGCATTTTAGTTCCACCTGCCATATTAATGCTAGAATATAAAACAAAGGCTGAAATGTCCCATATTCCACAATCTCAAGATGCTCATCAGATGACAATGGAAGATAGTGAAAACAACTTTCAAAACATAACAGAAGAGATCCCTATGGTAAGGAAGAAAAAAAAAATTGAAGTAATATAAGTTTGTTGTGAATAAATGTACAATAATTTTTTTTTTAATTTTAGGAAGTATTTAAAGAAGTAAGAATTTTGGACAGTAATGAAGGAAAGAGTGAAATGGAGATGCATATAAAATCAAAAAAGCTTCCAATCACACGAAAATTTTATGCCTTTTATCATGCACCAATTGTAAAGTTCTGGTTTAATACGGTATGTTTTTAAATAGTATTTGCATGAATCTATCTTTCCTTCCTTCCTTCCTTCCTTCCTTCCTTCCTTCCTTCCTTCCTTCCTTCCTTCCTTCCTTCCTTCCCTCCCTCCCTCCCTCCCTCCCTCCCTCCCTCCCAAGGGAGACCATGATGTTGTGTTTTGGGGAGTTTTTTGTTTGTTTGTTTTATATTTATTTTTTAGTTATAGGTGGACACAATATCTTTATTTTACTTTTATGTGGTGCTGAGGATGAAACCCAGTGCCTCCTGCATGGTAGGCAAGTGCTCTACCTCTGAGCCACAATCCCAGCTCTGTTTTGTTTGTTTTTTAAATTTTTTAAATTTATTTTTAGTTGTAGTTGGACACAATACCTTTATTTTATTTATTTTTATGTTGTGCTGAGGATCGAACCCAGCGCCTCGCACATGCTAAGTGAGCACTCTATTGCTAAGCCACAATCCCAGCCCAGACATAATGTTTTAAGAAGATATGTTTTAGGGAACCTTTGGTCTGGAATCCCATAGTAACCTTGATTTAACTTATATCATTGGAAAGTATGTCCGCTTTAAAGAACAATACATTTAATTTAGATTATCCCAATTGCCAGCATCTGGAATGATAACACTAACAAATTTTAATTCTAATTGGAAATAAAAATATACTAAACACGTATGTGTTGTGACCATTGGTTGTATAAGTGGGTAATAAATACAGATCATCTAGTGAAACTGATAGTAAAATATTAACCAAAAAACTGATACAATTCCTTGTGCTCTAGGATTTATAGATAATACACAGAAGTTTAGAAATGACCCTGCTTGCTATGTTAATCAATGATGATAAAGAGTAATCCAGATCATTGATATGGTTTTATTTATCAGTGACTTATTTCTTTAATTATGTGCTTAGTTACCTGTACACTTGGCTTTTCTCTTGCTTCATGGAAAAATGGATTTTACTAATAGTTTATAGAGCATATGTCCTTAGCAATATGGTCTCAACTGTTGAAGCACAGTAGCTTATTCATTGTTTTGGTTTTCTAGTTAGGGGAAGAGCAAATGAGCTCTGGAAACTTCTAGTTGGTCTTCTTGCTGATATCTCTTTATTTATTTATATATGGTGCTGAAAATTGAACCGTTGCCTCACACATGCTAATCAAGCACTCTACCACTGAGCTGCTACCCCAGCCCCTACTTTTAACCAGTGTCTGAGTCTGAATAAATAAGTTTACACTCTCCTTCCTAGGAAAACTTTTTTTTTATTTTGTTCTTTTCATCAATTATCAGACACTTACCAAAGTCTACAAATGCCTTTGTGCTAAGATGAATATTTGAGAACTTGTTCTTTCAACCATTGCTTTTTTTATTGACACCCATACCTTCTAACTCGAGACTAATTTACTATATTTCCTTCTCAATGTGAAAATGTTTTGTTCTTCCCTCCTAGACACTGGTAATACAAATCTCATTTATCTAATCCCTGAATTCTTTCCCCAGAGTGTAAGTTTTTTTACATTTGTATTCATGTGAATGGCTACTTAAAAACAGAGAATCCAGGTGACCAAATAAATTTCTCCTTTTTTTTTTTTTGTATTGCATTTTATTTCCCTAGGCTGCCTTAGCTCAAATAATTATTTTTATATACATAAAACTGTCCATAATGTTTTATTTTGTAATCAATTTTATTCGTATAACTTTTGTTTCTTTTTTATTAGTTGGCATACTTAGGATTTCTGATGCTTTATACATTTGTAGTTCTTGTACAAATGGAACGGTTACCTTCAGTTCAAGAATGGATTGTTATTGCTTATATTTTTACCTATGCCATTGAGAAAGTCCGTGAGGTATGTCTTTAGTTTTTCCTACTGGGTAGCTTACTATGTGCATGGAAGATTTTTTGTTTTGTTTGAGATGTGCATGTGTGTATGTGTGTGTTAATTCAATGGGAGATAATATTATAGAAGTATAGAACATGTTTATTTTTACTGTTCTTAAAATAATGGCAAAAAAAAATAGAAATCAGTGAATATGCTGTTCACTTTGTCACATTACAAATACAATGATATGTCTCTGAAACTTAGCATAGATTTTTTTGTTTTTTTCTCAATATTTATATTTATGCTCTTACTCTCAAAAGGTATCACATATATTTATATATCCAATTAGGTAGGTAAATTATAAATAGATTTTCATTTTGGTGTTTTCTTATACTACCCTCTAAAGTATATGTATTTCCCACCAAATCATTATTTAGATTTATATCCAGCTGTCAGTTACATTAAACCTGTCTAGGTTAAATTATAATTTTCTAACATCCTGATTTTGAAAAAATGTTTTTTCCTTAAATAAATTTGTACACTTTCTGTTTAAACTCAAAACTACATAAATGTTTTATAACACTTGCATCAGTACTTTTGAATTATTTCATGACTCTGTTATATATTTAGAGAACACATGAAATTGCAAAAGTAATAAGAAGGTATAGTACTTCTCATTTAAATATAGAAATTTATCTTATTAAATAACATGCATTTTTAAATGCTGTGGCTCATATGTTTATAAAAATCTTACCAGTGTGTTTGAAGAAATTAAGTTGTTGAATGATAAAAAAAATATGTATTCGTTAAAGAGGTCTACAAGGATTCATGAGATGACAGTAATTCTGGTTGCCTCCAGTGACTACAGTAATTAATTGACTAAGAGAGATGAACCAAGAGACTTTTCAGTATTTAGAATTCACTTCATTTTGAAGTTGTGAATGTAATACCATTCCTCTCAAAAGTTGTTTTTTTAATTCTAATATTCATCATATTCAAGAGACGCAGTATGTTTTAGATAATTTAGAGAAATACAGCTACTTAAACCATTGAATTATTTAATTTCTGTGACTAAGGCATCTTTGGAAGATACTACCAGTATATCCCAAGTAGGACTTTAATATGATATAAAACAACTTTTCCAAAACATTGCACATTCCATCCAGATCTAGAGACCTTTGTTATAATTTAAGATTTTTAGCCTCTTAGTTGGATGACCTTGGTTGAGCAGGTCATTTATTTATAAGACATTATCTCTTACCAGCTTACTATTTTGGTAATTAAGTACGTTATTAAATGCCAAGATAACAGATTAAAAGCACTTTGAAACATTAAAATATGACTAAAATTCCTTTGTGGTGTTATAATTCAGTGCTGTATATGTTTGAATATGAAGAAATTCATTAAACTTTTTTGTTCTTGTTGAACCTTTAGATCTTTATGTCTGAAGCTGGGAAAATAAGCCAGAAGATTAAAGTGTGGTTTAGTGATTATTTCAATATCAGTGATACAATTGCCATAATTTCTTTCTTCATTGGATTTGGACTAAGATTTGGAGCCAAGTGGAACTTTGAGAATGCATATGATAATCATGTTTTTGTGGCTGGAAGATTAATATACTGTCTTAATATAATATTTTGGTATGTGCGTTTGCTAGATTTTCTCGCTGTAAATCAACAGGCAGGACCTTATGTAATGATGATTGGAAAAATGGTAAGTTGATATACATCTGCTAATGCTCCTGGGTTTTATTATTTCTTAAAAGTTATAAAAATGTGTGTTATAAAATAGTTTCATTTGAACTAGTGAATGAATTGCCTCATACTTCCTCCAGATCTATCATTCTTTAAGGATATTTTATTAACCTTTGAAAAAATATTCAGTAAATAAGGTTAGGGGCTGGGGCTGTGGCTCAGTGGTAGAGCGCTCACCTAGCACATTCGAGGCCCTGGGTTTGATTCTCAGCACCACATAAAAATAAATAAATAAAATAAAGGTATTGTGTACATTTACATCTAAAAAAAAGAAAACATTAAAAAATAAATAAATAATAAAATAAGGTTAGAAAAAACATACTTTGTGTTTCCTTGAAATGCTTTGTAACTGTTAAATATTTCTTCCTAGGAATATTTGGCATGACAATGAAGAATATGAACTCATAACTTTAATCTGTATATTTCTTTTCATCTTTACTGCTACTATTTTATATCAAACCACATCATCAGGCACCTTCAGTAGTCTAGTGATCTGTTTCCTCACAACCAGTTTGGCTTGTCTTTGATCCACATCATAACTAGAATGATTATTTAAAAATGCAAATTTGTATATGTCACTTCCTCATCTTGAAGAATTTTAATGGGTTTACATTGCTCCAAGAGATCAGTGTACTTAATTAAAAATCCTCTTTCTATATCTCCCTTTCCACCCCTCCCTCTCTTCCTTTTCCCCACCCTCCCCTTTTTAAATTTTGTTATTAATGTAATTTTGTTAATAATGATAGATTCACATGAAATTGTAAGAAATAGAATCCTTTATACCCTTTATCTTGTTTCCTCCAAAGGTAACATCTTCTGCTTCACTATTAAACCTTAGATTTTTTTAAAAAAAAATATTTTATTTTTATGTGGTGCTGATAATAGAACACAGTACCTCTAGCATGCCAGGGAAGCGTGCTACCACTTGAGCCACATTCCCAGCCCCTAAACCTTAGATATTCTTGATCTCGTATCTGTACTCTAGTCACATCAGCTTTTTAAAATGTTCTTTTTAAGCCAGGCAGGATGTTGTAGGCCTAGAGTCACAGCTACTTGGGCATCTGGCTTGGGAGTCTATCTAGAGTCCAGGAGTTCAAGACCAGCTTGGGCAACATACCAAGACCCTGTCTCAAAAAAAAAAAAAAAAAAAAAAATTTTTTTTTCCTCTTGTTTCTTTTAACACAGCCCCTGTAGAATAGCATAATTCATGTTCTTCTTTCTACCTGGAACTACACTGTCCTCTACATTCATTCTCTTAGTTTTGTCTTTATTTTGTTGTTTTTTACAAACCTGAGTTTATCCTTCATATCTCTGCTCCAACACCGTATTTTTCAGGGAAGGATTTTTTGGTTCCTCCTAGCTGGATCAAGTTTATTTGCTTTATATCCTTCTGGGACACATGTTCTTTCCTTTCATAATATTTTTGTCTGTGTCTGTATTTTAAACTACATTCTTACTAAATTATTTATCTTTTTCTTTAGAAGACTAAACTCCTTATGGTAGGAATCATGTCTGGCTTTGATCATTTTTATTTCTCTAGTACTTATTATAGTACCTTCACATACTATGCTCTCCTTAATAAGTATTTGTTGGTTGGATGAATAAAGTAATTACAAGTAGGAAGAAATTACATAAAAATTACTGAACATTAACTGGGTGCAGCAGTACATGTGTAATCCCATCTACTTAAGATGTTGAGGCAGCAGAATCTCATGTTTGAGGCCAGGCTGGACAACTTGGTGAGATTCTGTCTCAAGAATGAAAAGGGCTGGGGATGTGGGGATGTGGACTCAGTGGTGGAGCACCCAAGGTTCAGTCCCCAGTGCTGATTGAAATGCATGCATACACACACATGACCAATCACTATTTTGATAGTTTTGTTAAGATTTTTTTCTCTTATTTTTATGTTCTTAGCAGCAGATTATAAATTTTATAAATTTCCAGTTATTAACCAAGTATCTTTTTATTGTTTATTATTTCGCACTGTATAAGACAATGTAGCAAGCATCAGGATTGCCCCCAGACTTTATGAAACCACATTTCTTTATTTTATTTTACCAATCCTGTAATTATTTTTTATAATTTTGTAATTAACTTGAGGAGCCTGTAGTATATAAAATATTTCAGGAAATTATGAGATTTTTACCTAACAACATAGTTTATTGATTAAATTCATGAATTCCAAACGTGAGCATTCATGGAAAAAGATCATTCTGTTGAGAATTTTCTTACAAAGTAATGGGATATGGAGTTGTTTGAAAGCATAAGATGTAAATAAAAAGGTAGTCTGACTATAGTTTCTTTTATAATAAAGAGTAGCTAGTTGGCAGTCAGTTGAATAGACAACGTTTAACCTGGATTTTATAGGACATTGAAAACTGGGTAATCTGAACTCTTTAGAAAGTAACTGTATTCCTAAGTAAATAGTAGCAATTAGCGATAGTAATTAGATTATCATTTTACATCATTCTTTGAATTACTTCAAAAACATAAAAATTCATGTTGTGACTTAACCACATTTATTTTGCAATGATTTAATAGATGATAACTCAGGCTCTTTTTCAATTTTGTTGAAATTAAAGTGTTACACACTATCCTACTTGTGAAAGTATTTGTTGTCCAGACATTGGTATCACTTATTTTTTCAGCATCCATACTAATTATTCAGTTTGGGGAGTTTTTGACTCCTGGACAAAAGAGGGTAGGGTTCAGAATAGGTGGGAAATAATGCCATACTATTGAAAATGAGCCTAAGATTCTTACCAAAGGCAGAATGGAAAAGAGACTCTGTACCTCCATTGTAAGAGTGGAAAAGCTTTAGGAAAGGATTCTTAGGGAAATTGACTCCCTAAATCTACCCATGTTTATACTTTTTAAAAGATCTTTGTGGACCCTAAAGATGGGCAGCCTCTAGTTTGAACCAGTGATATAGTTCATTTTAGAGATAAAGATGGTTACGACTTTCTTAGCTTCACATTTTCTTTTGTTTTTGTTTTCTTTGAGGTACTGGGGATTGAATCCAAGCCCTCATACGTTATTAGGCAGATGGTCCAACAGTGAGCCAAATTCCTAGCCCTCTTTTTTTTTTTTAAAGTCTCCTTGATGTTAAGGTTTATGTAGTGATAAGATTTGCTTTAATGTAGTTATTAGGAATAAACAGAAATTATATTTCTCAATTAGAGTTTAGGAATACATTTTTAAATGAAAAATTTTTTATTGTATTTAAATTCCCTTGTATTTTAACAGCTTTTTTTTTTTTTTTTAAACAGGTAGCCAATATGTTCTACATTGTAGTGATTATGGCTCTTGTATTACTTAGTTTTGGTGTTCCTAGAAAGGCAATACTTTATCCTCATGAAGCACCATCTTGGACTCTTGCTAAAGATATAGTTTTTCATCCATACTGGATGATTTTTGGTGAAGTTTACGCATACGAAATAGATGGTAAGAATTTATTTGTTTTAAATCAATATTATATCAGTTATATTGCCTATTTTTCAAAGTCAGATTTATAATCTGACTTAATCCTGGGGGAAAAAGTAATTGAAAAAGGTTTTAATCTTTTTTTAGCTACAAGCAGTGGAAATCTGGCCCAAATTGTTGTACAAAGTGAGACTAGTTAATTATGAGCTCACAGGACAGAAAGTTCAGAGGTGGAATGATTTTTAGGGTTGTTTATCATACAGATTTCCCTTATCGCAGTGTAAGACTGTCACAGCAACAGAAAGACACTGTTAATCCTTGACTGTTTTTAGAGGGAAACAATTCCTTTTATAGAAATTCACTTTGAACCTTTGTTTTTATCTTGTTAGCTCAACTTGACTTCAGCCTTTCCATCTCTAAAAGGGTTACTAGCAAGTGGGGTGGGAGTACAATGATTAGTTTAGACCAATCAGGATGGATTGAATATTGAAGAGCCGGCTCAATAGTAAATGACAAAAATAATATCATTTGGAAACCTTGAAGAGCTTAGAGCATGTTGTTATATAGGGGATAACAGTTTTTAGGATTCTATCAAATTTGTGAGTATTGTCTCTAGGTAAGGCAAATATATGAGTTAACCTCTACCTATTCAACCCATTCTTAATTAAAAGATTGTTGCACAGTTTTGTTACCATTCACATTTGACTCCTATGATTATAAATAATGACCTAGATAATTTGTGAACATAGATGATACCATCGGTTTTCAGGGGTACTCTTCTGCTGACCTCCACATTTGAATTGTAATCCTTATTAGTTTTCTCTTACTCTTTCTCTTCCTTCTTCTGTCACTCTTCCTTTGCCTCATACCTGTGTTGCTTCTTTTCCATCTATTTATGGGTGATTAGGTCAGGGGCTGCCCAGAAAGAGAAGATTGTAATTAGGTTAGTGGATGGTTAAATCAAAGATTGTGGTCAATAGTCATTCTCAGATATTTATAAAAGTAACTTTTACTAATCTGGTAAAATTTTGAGTTTAATGGCTACCTGTTTGGTTCAGTTTAAGGCATTTGTTGTCTGCTATTTTTCTAATGATGTTATCTCTAGTTGGGCAGTTGTTAATAAAGCATTGGGTATGGTTTTTGGTTTTCTGCATCTCTTTCTTGTATATTTGCTTCCCCATACTAACCTGAATGGAATGGAAGTTGATTTATAAAACTGTTTAAAAGTAAAAGGATTTTATCACAATTTTCCTCTAAAATCATTTTAAGGAATAATACAGCCATTATGAGAATCTCAATGATTTTTAGTTAATTAATTAATAATTTACTTAAGTAATACTAATTTAAATAACAAATATGAATTGCTAAGTGTACTGTAAGTATTTGCATAGGAATTGTCACTAATTCATGATTATTTAATTCTACTCTTTACCCTCCTAAATTAATTTATGGTATTCCTTGTGACTCTCTGATGGGTATTAATATTATTACCTCCCATGTTTGTATTTAGCTATGTTCTGATTTCTGAAACATTTGTAGATGAGGATAATGACAAGCCATGAATTAAAATCTAGTCACTATGTATTTAAAAAGCACTTTAGCAACTTTTTCATTCCTCTTTTTGGGATTGTAAATTGAAGTCAATAATTCTTGTTTTCATAAATTTACTTGCTTTGTTGTGAGTCTACCATACTTTTAAGATTCCAATATTTTCCTTATAATAATGTTATACCGTGACTCAGTCCAAAACTTCTATCCTCCTTAATGATTCTAAGGCCAAACCCTGCCTTGAAAGTAGACATAATATCTAAACATACTTCCTTGTCTGGAAGAGTGGTAGAACAGAGTGCGTCCACACTCCTCACAAAAATCCTCTATATTGGAATGCTTTTAAGTTGGAGTTTCTGTGGTTGCCTCTCCAGAGTCCTCTGCTAGAATCTGTGAGACAGGTTTATATGTAATCAAAACTTATTTTAAGTGAAGTAAAAAGATTAAACACTGATAGCAGTTACTGGCAGATAACTATATTTAAAATTCTTTTTTTTTCTTCATAAAGTGTGTGCAAATGATTCCACTATCACCGAAATCTGTGGCCCTGGAACATGGTTGACTCCATTTCTTCAAGCAGTCTACCTCTTTGTACAGTATATCATTATGGTGAATCTTCTTATTGCATTTTTCAAGTAAGAATTTTATTCAATTGCGTATTATTATGATATCATTTGATGATATGCCATTCTACTCATTTTGAAGGAAATATATAGAATTTAAAATCTAAAAATTTTATCAGCGTAAAGTACTCAAATCATAGAAAAATTACATATAAGAAGTCATGCTTTTTCAAATTTTAAATTTTAGATTTTATTATTTTTTTGCCTTTTTTGGGGGGTGGTACCAGGGATTGAACCCAGGGGTGCTTAACCTCTGAGCCACACCCCAACCCTATTTTGTATTTTATTTAGATACAGGGTCTCGCTGAGTTGCTTAGGGCCTCACTAAGTTACTGAGGCTGGCTTTGAACTCGCAATCGCTGGGATTATAGGCATGTGCCACTGCACCTAAGTAGATTTTATTATCTTTCAATGTACAGTTCTTTTATAAATTTGATCCTCATTTGGAATTTTTCCTATGTTACCAAGGAATGCATTTTCAATGTAGAAAGCAGAAAGGCAAATATAAAATTCATCAATAATTCTACTCTTTTGTGGGGGTTGGGGGACAGGTACTGGGATTGAACTCGGGGACTCCACCACTAAGCCACATTCCCAGCCCTATTTTGTATTTTATTTAGAGACAGGGTCTCACTGAGTTGCTTAGCTCCTTACCATTGCTGAAGCTAGCTTTGTATTGCAAGCCACTGGGTTACAGGCTTGCACCACCATGCCTGGCTAATTCCACTCTGAATATTTAGGGGTACATCTATTTTAAGTGAATGTATAAACCATGTTTTCTTTTAAAAAATACTCTTGTTATTTTGTGGTGATACATGGCCTATAATCTTAGCTACTTGGAACACTGAGGCAGGAGGATCATGAGTTTGAGGCCAACCTTGGCAATTCAGTGAGAGTCCCATCTAAAAAAGCAAAAAAAATTCTTATATTTTCTATGCTATTTTTAAGTAAGAAAAACATGAACATTATCCAAATTGATTAATATTTCTCTCCAATTTTTGCGGGGGGTGTTGAGTGGGTGGGTACTGGGGATTGAAATCAAAAGTGCTTTACTACTAAGCTACATCCTCAGTCCTATTTATTTTTTTTATTTCAAGACAGGGTCTTGCAAAGTTGCTGAGGCTGGTCTCAAACTTGGAATCTTTCTGCCTCAGCCCCTGAGGAATTGCTGAGATTACAGGCATGTGCCACTGTGCCTATCCAGTCTATTTTTAATGACTGCTTGATTCTCCATGATACAAATTATAATACTTTAAGCCAATATATTATTTTGTTCAATTAGATTGTACTTTTTTGGTCTTAAACACCATATTGCGATTTGAACAATACCCAAGTATTTCTTTAAAGTGTTTTTCTAAAAGTAGAACTGTTCAGTATGTGGATTTTTTTAGTTGTTTTTTTTTCTCCCCATTTAAGTCAAAATATAGTGTATCCTTCAACTTCTTGCCAACTCTGGGTATTATTATTTTTTAATGGTTGCCTTTTAAAATTTTTTTTTCTTTTGGTTGTAGATGGACTCAATACCTTTATTTTATTTATTTATTTTTATGTGGTGCTGAGGATTGAACCCAGTGCCTCACATGTGCTAGGCAAGCGTTCTGCCACTGAGCCTCAACCGTAGCACAATAGTTGGCAATTTGATAGCACATAAAAGGATCTTTTTTTTTTTTTTTTTTTTGGTACCAGGGATTGAACCCAGGAGTGCTTAACCACTGAGCCACATTCCCAATCCTTTTTATTTATTTTGAGACAGGTCTCACCAAGTTGCTGAAGCTAGCTTTGAACTTGAATTGCTCCTGCCTCAGCCTCTAGTCACTGGGATTACGGGCATGTGCTACTGTACCCAGCAATTTTTCATTTACTTTTTAGTCTTGTTTATTGAAGGGTACTTGTCCTTACTTAGTCCAGAATTATAATAAAATCTTTAGTATTTAAAACTTTTTTAGATAAGGTTAACTAAGTTTATTTTTAATCTTTGTTATTCTAGCAATGTGTATTTACAAGTGAAGGCAATTTCCAATATTGTATGGAAGTATCAGCGTTATCATTTTATTATGGCTTATCATGAGAAACCAGTTTTGCCTCCTCCACTTATCATTCTTAGCCATGTAGTTTCTCTGTTTTGCTGTGTATGTAAAAGAAGAAAGAAAGATAAGACTTCTGATGGACCAAGTAAGTAAAATAAACTAAGGCAAATGTTTTCTTCATGTAATAACACCTTGAAGACTAAGTAATGATTTTACTCAATACAATGTAATATTTAACATTATTGGTTAATGTTATTGTGAAGGCTTTTGTTAAATGTGCCTGACCAAAGGAATTTTTAGGTGCAATTTGATGATCTATAAAAGGAGGTTTAGTATTAAACTCCTCTTTGGTGATGACATCTCAGTTTGTTTTTATTAAAATGGGGATTATGTAGATTATGACACTTTAGCTCTTCTAAACCATTTTTTACTGCTCTGGAAACATGACAATTATCTAAACTACCTGAAATTGATCACTGTGTCAAATTGTGCTTAAAATTTTACATTGGCTTTCTATTCCACTAGCTGAGTTCTGAAATTCCTCTGACTGGGTATGTGAGGAAGATTAAGAGAGGGGGAATAGTGTTGGAAAGGAAAATTAGAAGAGAATAACTTACCTGAAACCATTTTACTTATATCATACCATGAAGGAGGAAAAAAGAAAAAGAAAGACACTTGGCTAGTGCTTCAGAAACACAGCACTAAAAAGAGAAAAAAGTTGCACAATAATTTATAAGACTTAGGAGCTTAAGTTTGAAAACCTAGTAGCCCTTCATTGATTTGTTTTTGTCTTTCCTCCCTTAGAACTTTTCTTAACAGAGGAAGATCAAAAGAAACTTCATGACTTTGAAGAGCAGTGTGTTGAGATGTATTTTAATGAAAAAGATGACAAATTCCATTCTGGAAGTGAAGAGAGAATCCGTGTCACTTTTGAAAGGTTTAGAAGTTGTTTAATTATAATTGATAATATGTTTAATTATAATTGATTATATTAGTTATGTATCTTATACCTAGTCATTGTTTAATTTATTTTGTCAAGCAAATAGCTTTTTATCATATATTGGAAAGACAGTTCAGTTCTTTACTTCTAGTACTTTATATAATTCAATCAATCCCTTGTTGTTTTTTAATGGTGCTGGGGATCCAGCCCAGGGTCTCAGACATGCTAGGCAAGAACTCTACCTCTCGAGCTACATTCCTAGCCTTCTTGTAATTTTTTGACTATAGTTTCAGGGTTAATGCTCTTTTCTACTCTGGAGAGAAAAGTAAAACTATCTTCACTATTTTTAAAGCCTTTCTTTCTTTTGATTGGCCTTGCTATATTCTGGAAGCATATGATGTTTTTGTAGTTACAGTAATGGTAATTCTTTGGATATGTAACTGTATATCTATATTTAGGAGAGTAAATTGGAAAAAAAAAAGCATTTCTAGAAACCTGTGTTTTATTATAACAGCATTAGCATTGGATTCTTCTTAAACATAAAGAATGCCTTGTATAAATAAATAGCCAGACTTTATTTTCACAACTTACCTCGTTTGTTATAAAACAGTGCATTTAAAATTTCTTTGTATTGTCATTTATTTGAGACTACAAAGAGAATTTCTTCATTTATTTTTAATATTCATAAAAAGCCTGTTTTTCCCCTACAGAGTGGAGCAGATGTGCATTCAGATTAAAGAAGTTGGAGATCGAGTCAACTACATAAAACGATCATTACAGTCATTAGATTCTCAGATTGGACATTTGCAAGATCTTTCAGCCCTGACAGTTGATACATTAAAAACACTCACTGCCCAGAAAGCTTCAGAAGCTAGCAAAGTTCACAACGAGATCACACGAGAATTGAGTATATCCAAACATTTGGCTCAGAACCTTATTGATGATGGTCCTGTAAGACCTTCTGTATGGAAAAAGCACAGTGTTGTAAATACACTTAGTTCCTCTCTTCCTCAAGGTGATCTTGAAAGTAATAATCCTTTTTTTTGTAATATTTTCATGAAAGATGCAAAAGATCCCCAATGTAACATGTTTGGTCAAGATTTACCTGTAATACCCCAGAGAAAAGAATTCAATTTTCCAGAGGCTGGTTCCTCTTGTGGTGCCTTATTCCCAAGTGCTGTTTCTCCTCCAGAACTGCGACAGAGACGACATGGGGTAGAAATTTTAAAACTATTTAATAAAAGTCAAAAATTAGGCAGTTCACCTAATAGCACACCACGCCTGTCATCCCCACCAACCAAATTCTCTGTTAGTACACCGTCCCAGCCAAGTTGCAAAAGCCACTTGGAAACTGTAACCAAAGATCAAGAAAGTATTTGCTTTAAAGCTGCAGAAGGAGATAGTATAGAATTTGGAGCATTTGTAGGTAAGTTTGAAATGAAAATAATTAGCTAGTTAATAAAAATATTGTAGGACAAGTGGACTGTTTTTTGTGTAGTTCTAAACATTTTAAAGGAATTAGAAGTGGGGAAAATAAGTTGATTTGGGCTTTAAGAGTTATATTGTCAGGGATGGGGCTGTAGCTCAGTGGTAAAACACTTGCTTTGCATGTGTGAGACACTGGGTTTGATCCTCAGCACCACATAAAAATAAATAAAGATACTATGCATTCATCTACAACTCAATAATTAAAAAAGAGTTATATTGTCATGTATTTCTTTAGTAAAATTTACTATAGTAGCAATGTACACAAAAATTATTTGGCCTCTTTCAAATTTGAATATATCTTTAATTGAATTTGGTCAATTGTTGGAAGAACCTGAGTGATTTACATATGTAAGGTACATAGGGAACAATAGGAAGGTACAGGGAAGTTGTAAACAATAGGCAAAAAGAACAATATACATAGGATGATTTTTATTTTTATTCAAACCAGGATAGTTTTTAATTTTTTTTTTATTTGTAGTTGGACACAATCCTTTTATTTATTTTTATGTGGTTCTGAGGATTGAACCCAGGGCCTCACACGTGCTAGGCAACAACTCTACTGCTGAGCCACAACCCCAGCTCCCCCAGGACAGTTTTTATAGTGAAAGGTACATTGCTAATAATTACATTGTATTGACTGGGAAACCAGGAGTCTACTTGTGAAACCAAGACAATCATAGCTTGGTTAACAATGGGATACATTAGGCATTTTGATCATGTGAAAATCAAGAGTGTGGTTACACAAACCTAGATACACAGTAAACATGATATATAAGGTCATTGATGACATAAAATGATATTCTGTTTTACAATAAACTTTATTATTTTTTTTTTTTAGAGAGAGAGAGAATTTTTTAATATTTATTTTTTAGTTCTCGGCGGACACAACATCTTTGTGGTGCTGAGGATCGAACCCGAGCCGCACGCATGCCAAGCGAGCACGCTACCGCTTGAGCCACATCCCCAGCCCCTACAATAAACTTTATAAATAGAAGGAATGTACCATAATGATACAAAGTTATTATCAAGTATTATGTACTATATATAATCACGTTGCTAAGCTTTTATACAATTGGCAGCTTAGTAAGTTTGTTTACTACCCCAACTGTGAGTTATAGGACATCACTTAGGCAATAGTCATTTTTTAGCTCCATTGTAATCTTATGGGACTACCATTATATATGCATTCTATCACTGGCTAAAACTTTGTGGTGATATGGGGAGAAATCTTAAAAATGTTAATAAAAATATAAAATTAGACAGTTTAAGCATGCCACATCTTTCTTCCCCACCAACCAAATACATGTCTGTGTTTATGATCTATCTTATAAATCTAGAAATGAGAGCACTTAAAAAAGGAAAGAGTCACTCTTACACCTATGATAGATTAAATAGGATAATAAGAGAGAAAAATATTTTATTTTTGCGTTGATAAAACATAATGACCTTGGTGAAAACTGTTTCAATAAAGAAGTGATACAGGAAAAGCCAAATTAAAGTGCAAATGGAGGAGAGAATAAAAAGGGAATGATTGTGGGAGACTTTGATTTTTGTGTTTATCATGTTTTGTTTTTAATGTTAAGGGAGATTTAATCATCTTTAAATGCTGACAGTGTGCCATTTGGAAGGGAGTGAGTGAGTAGAGAATGCTTTGTAGACCTAGCCGAGTTCCTGTAATTTGGGAGAATATGGTGTTTTAAAGTATTTAACAGAGAATTTTTAGTAAATAATTTGGGTTGTTTGGAGTATAACCAGAATGTTCCAAGGTATGAATAATGCCCTTTATTTTTCCATCAGGTGGTTTCCTACCGTTGTCTTCAATACTTCTTGTAGCCTTCTCTGCATAAAAATTTACCTAGTCATGAAATATGTGTAATGATTGTGTAAGGAATGTGTAATAAACCATTGTAAAATATACGAAGTCCAGCCTGACAGGTTATCTAGGTACTCAGCACACTAGTACTATGTACTAGTACTGCTAGGCTATGTGGAGTTTGCTGTGGGTTATAGATACATAACCTTTCCTACATAGAATTTATCCCAATGTATTACAACAAAATATTTTTTTCCAGTGCTGGGAATGAAACCCAGGGTCCTAAAAAACATTTTGTCCTGTTTGATAATGTATTACCAGTGGGGGCTGCGTATAATTAGTTTTTATATTTTATTATTCATAGTAAGAATTATTGTTTCCCCCGTTCTTTTAAATTTCAAGCTATTTACTCACATCAACATGTTGGGTTCTGTTTGAAGAACTTTTGCTATTAATATAAACTGAATTACAAGTCTTCATCAGCTTCTTGGCAAATATTTTTTTTTTATTTTTTATTGTTGGTTGTTCAAAACATTACATAGTTCTTGATATATCATATTTCACACTTTGATTCAAGTGGGTTATGAACTCCCATTTTTACCCCATATACAGATTGCAGAATCACATCAGTTACACATCCATTGATTTACATATTGCCATACTAGTGTCTGTTGTGTTCTGCTGCCTTTCCTTTCCTCTCCTATCCCCCCCCCCCCCCCCTCCCCTCCCCTCCCCTCCCCTCCCCTCTTCTCTCTCTACCCCCTCTACTGTCATTCATTTCTCCCCCTTGTATTATTTTTCCCTTTCCCCTCACTTCCTCTTGTATGTACTTTTGTATAACCCTGAGGGTCTCCTTCCATTTCCATGCAATTTCCTTTCTCTCTCCCTTTCCCTCCCACCTCTCATCCCTGTTTAATGTTAATCTTCTTCTCCTGCTCTTCGTCCCTACTCTGTTCTTAGTTACTCTCCTTATATCAAAGAAGACATTTGGCATTTGTTTTTTAGGGATTGGCTAGCTTCACTTAGCATAATCTGCTCTAATGCCATCCATTTCCCTGCAAATTCTATGATTTTGTCATTTTTTAATGCAGAGTAATACTCCATTGTGTATAAATGCCACATTTTTTTTATCCATTCGTCTATTGAAGGGCATCTAGGTTGGTTCCACAGTCTTGCTATTGTGAATTGTGCTGCTATGAACATCGATGTAGCAGTGTCCCTGTAGCATGCTCTTTTTAGGTCTTTAGGGAATAGACCGAGAAGGGGAATAGCTGGGTCAAATGGTGGCTCCATTCCCAGCTTTCCAAGAAATCTCCATACTGCTTTCCAAATTGGCTGCACCAATTTGCAGTCCCACCAGCAATGTACAAGTGTACCCTTTTCCCCACATCCTCGCCAGCACTTGTTGTTGGCAAATATTTTAATAGTATTTAGCAGAAATGCAAAAAGAAATTGCAAAGCCATCAAAATTACTTGAAAAACAACCTTCATTTGCCTTTATAGACTTTAGACAATGTCATTTACTTGATAAGGAAGAACAAAAATTTTTTATTGTGATTTTTTTTTTTTTTTCTGTTAAAGGGCACAGAGATAGCATGGATTTACAGAGGTTTAAAGAAACATCAAACAAAATAAAAGAACTATTATCTGTAAGTACATACTTGTAAGAGCATGATTTATTTTTATTTCACAATTTTGATACTTAGTTCAAAGTAGAATTAAACTTTTTTTTTTCAGTAAATACATAGTTTTAGCAGAGACCACCAACATGATAATCCCACATATTTGAAACTATACACAATTTGAAAGAAAGTAGAAGCAGTTGAGGAACATGAAAAAAAAAGTACAAATAGCTTGCATTTTTTATTAGATAAAATTAAAGTAAAAAACCACCCATTTAGCATTTTTCTCAAAAATTTTTCCTGGCCCCAAAGTTTATTTACAGCACGATCCTGGCTCAAGGAAAACCATAGCCTAGAAATAAAGAGATATATGTAATGTACAAAGGCTAGATTGTCAATAAATGTTTGTTTCTAAGTTTTGAAATGTATAGAACAATTGGGGAAAAAAAAAAGAAAAAAGAGGAGGGTATGTTTTCTGCCTGAAATCAGTTTTTTTATTTCTTAATATTGCCTTCACAAATTACTTTTAACACTGAAGGGCAATAATGTAGCTAAGCCGGGCATAGTGGCACCCACCTATAATTCCAGCAGCTTAGGAGGCTTGAGCAGCAGTTCAAAGAGTTGATATGCAACTCAGTGAGACCCTGTCTCTAAATAAAATACAAATAGGGCTGGGGATGTGGCTCAGTGGTCATGGGCCCCTAAATTCAATCCCTGCCCTCCCCTCCCAGTAATAATAATAATAATGTATCTATACCAAGATATTTAAAAAGACCTAGAAAAGTATTATGCTTCTTAGTCCCTTAAGGAACTCACATTGTAGAAATGATCAGGTGACAAATACAATTTAAAAAAATATTTTTTCCCCTGCTGGGGATATAGTTCAGTTGGTAGAGTGCTTGCCTTGCATGCATAAGGTCCTGGGTTCAATCCCCAGCACTACACACAAAAACATTTTTTTTTTTTTCCTAAAGCTATCCCCAGAAAATCATAACCTAGAGTTTCTATAGGTAATTCTTCCTTATATAATCCAAACTTAATTGTGTAATTGTCAGAACATATTACCTTACATATAAAAGGTAGACTTAAATGCACTTTGATATTTATACTAACATTTGTATTTTTAATTACATATATTCTGATTAAAATATTGAATATAATGTCTACTAACTAGATATTGTTAACTTGGAATTTAGTTGGTGATTATATGCAAATTGAGATGTAATAATTATGGGTTTTTTTTCTGTATTTGCCTTTATGCTTGAAAATATTTATATAGTTTTCTTGCCTCAAATAGGAACAGCAGAATGATGTTGAAAACACGATTTTGGAGTATTCTGAGATGCCTAAATATCAGGTAATGTTTCATTAGTATACATGGGAGTCAGAAAATTAGATATAGGATGTAGGTATGGTTTCAGTGGACTTAACCATAAAATCATAATTTGCAGTGTTTTCTAACAATTTTAATTCTATGGCATATTTTTAAAGGTCTGAATTTTCTATTATGTGTAATTATTTAGGAAGAAAGAGCTGAGTAAATGGATTAAGTGCATGTAGCTACCCTTAGCTAACACATGATGAAAAGAGAAAGAAATGAGAAAAGATGAGAAGTAGAACAGATAAGTCTCTATCAAAGTTAGTTTATTTATTATATGGAATTATTTAAATAATATCTTCTTTTTCCTATCTGCAAATTATTATTGTATTACCACACTCTGGTGGCATCATTTTGCTGTTGCAAAGCAATTGATACACATAGAACAAAAAGTTAAAGAACACCACTTAATGGAAAAGAGTGAAACAACAGGTTTCCCAACAGGTTTTATCTTTTAACAATAAATGTAAAATAGAGGAGTACACTAAAAAGTCTCATGTGGACAGGTTTCTTGGAAAAAGCAAGACGAAAGTGTAAGGTCCTGTAAGTTAGTAGAAAGATGGTAGCTACTGAAATGTTTTGAATTAAACAATTTTGAGTAATTTTCTAAAACTATAAGAGAATAATGAACTCACCTCATGATGGTCAATTTTGATCATTTGTGGATTTCTGATGAAAACTACAGATCCTTTTCCTAGAAAAAGCACAGATACATACTTTTTCTATTAAAGTAGGATTTTACAGTTGCCTTGAAAACCTATGCATTAGTTTCAGGTTAGGATTCCTTTTCATAGATTGTTCTGGAAACTGATATGTCATTATATCCAAGAGTATATCAGAGAAAGTGTTTAAAACAGATAAAGCAAACAAGAAATAGCTTGAACTGATTCCAGGAGAAACAGCTCAAATCAGAAAGGAAATTAGAATCTGTATTGTAACCATAGAAAGTAATTCAGCACTTTTTATCTTGTTTTTATACATTAGCTACATGTGAAGAGCAAAGCTAGAAAAGCTTAATTTTTCTTGAGATACAAGTTAATTTAATTAAAGCTCTACTCTATTGTAGTAGTAACATTTTGAAATCCACTCTTTCTGATGGTAGAGGTTTGGAAATTTTTTAAAGGTTGCCTAGTATTGTTGTAGTTGAGAAAACAAAATAGTATGCAAGTGTGAGATCTTCCCCAAATTGTTCAATGTGATTTATGAGTTCATCTGGGGGAAAAAGTGATTTAAAAAAAGAAAGAGAATTAGCTGTTAGACACTGAAATATTTTGCAACTAGCATGGTTAAAACATGAACACTTAGCAAAACATTTTATCTCACCTAGAAATAACCCTTCAAAAAATTAAAATTAATAAGGAATGTTGTCTTAGAAATTGATGAGGAGAGAAAGACTTTGGACAATTGGATGGAAATTCAGGAAAGTTGCTTATGTTCTCATATCACATCATAAACTTGGGTGAATTTTTAGAGTTAAATGTAAAAATTGAAAGCTTAGAAAAATTTTAAGGAAATAGGAATATTTTTTAAGTCAGTAAAGCAAACAGGATTTTCTAAATGTATAAATAATAGAAAATAGTAAGGGACATTGTAAAGACATTTAAAGATCTTATCTGGGGGCTGGGGTTCTGGCTCAGTGGTGGAGCGCCTACCTCACACATGTGAGGCACTGGGTTTGATCGTCAGCACCACATAAAAATAAACAAACAAAAATAAAGATATTTCATCCATCTATAACTAAAAAATTTTTTTTAAAAGTCATTATCTGTATAAGTCAGAACAAATTTGAAGAAAATTTGAAGTTTGATAAAAAATGAGAAGATAAATCCTTTGGTATATATAGCTTATACAAGTATACTTTATTCAGTAACAAAGCTACTAAGCCCATTAAAAAGAAATGGCCTCCTCCAAAGCACTATTTTCACTATGTTGATATAAGACAGCAGCTTCTCCTTCCCATGAATCAATAAAGACTTTATTTTTTTTCCCCACAGTTTTCTTAATTTTCCCAAAATTTTCTTGAACTTGTATTACTATGGAAAGCATTCATTCAAATAAATTTATGACCAATAAGCAATTGCGCAGGGTGTTTTCATGAAGTTTGACATTGAAGAAAATAATCATGATCTAAAATATACATTTGTTGTCCAGGTAGAATAAAGCATATTGAGCTAAGTAGATCAAGAAACTCTTTTATATTATAATAGTGGCTTGAAATTCAGTTCAATTATTTTAAAATTATATACATGTATAATATATACAGAATGATATTCCTCCTGGAAACACTTTGAAACCTGTGAGTTCTTTTGCTGGATTTACGGAATGTCACAAGGCTAACATTTCTCTTCATTCAGAAAAAGGTGAGTAGTTTAACTTGATGGGTTGTTAGCTAACATATTTAAGCTTTAAATGTATTGTATGTTTGTCATATGCCTGAATAATGAATGGTCTGGGAATCAGAAGACCAAGATTCTAGTCCAGTCATACTATAATCTTGAGATTAAGTCATATAATCCTAAACATTCTAATATTATTCAGAAATTGTTTAGTCTGTAAAGATGCAATATAAAGACTCAGCTTTACAAATCTGCTGATTTTAGCTTTTACAAACTGAATATCATGTATTCAACCTATTTTTTTGTTTAACTTTTAAAAATAGCTAATAAATTTGTTGATTTGAAATTAAAATATACATACTTGAAAAGTTCCCTTTCATGCCAATCTCATGTACTGCCACTATTATTTCTGTCTGCGTCTAGAATTTAATACTTATGTAGTCATATATAACAAATCTTTTCTCTCATATTTTACACAAAAGGTAACCTGTCATACTTGTTTTGCACTTTCTATACCATGGTGGTATTTCTGATATTTTTGGAGATGATTGTTGCATAGGCTGGCCTCAAACTTCTGAGCTCAAGCAGTCCTCCTAAAGCCTACCAACTAGCTGGGACTACTGGCACATGCCACTGTGTCCAACACAGCTGTTATTTTTTGAGTCAAAATTGTGTGTGTGTGTGTGTGTGTGTGTGTGTGTATCTCTAAAATTGACAAGTTAAATGATTATAAAAGTTACCCCTTATCACTTTTTTTTTTGGAGTGGGGGTGGACTAGGGATTGAACTCAGGGACACTCAACCACTGAGCCACATCCCCAGCCCTATTTAGTATTTTATTTAGAGACAGGATCTCACTAAGTTGCTTAGGGCTTCACTTTTGCTGAGGCTGACTTTGAACCCGCGATCCTCCTGTCTCAGCCAAGCCACTGGGATTACAAGCATGCACCACCATGCCTAGCTCATTCTTTTTTGATATACTAAATTTACCAGTATATATCGTGGCCAAATTGGGTTTATTCCAGGAATGCAAGTTGATTTAACATTCAGAAGTATGATTACTATGATGCATGATCGTAGATAAAAGGAGGAAAGTCATAAGCTCATATCAAGAGCTTCAAAAAAGCCATTTGATAAAATTCATTGTCTAGTCATGGTAACATAAAAATAGAAGGAACTTTCTTAATGTCAGTAAAGGTTATGTGCAAAATTTATCCCATTCATCATATTTCTTAATGAAATACTAAAAGCCCATAATGGAAAACAAGACAAAGATTCTGGCTGCTACTTTTTATATTTTATATTCTAGTGAGAGCAATAAAGCAAGTAAAACAAATGATAGAAAAGTAAAGAGGGGAAAAGTAAGTGTGTCCATAGTATTTTAAGTGGATATTATTTCTAAAGTTTGCATCCTTATAATGCTTTATCCTCACATTTCAGTTTTAGGCCACATCTATTGATGTTCTAAAGAAGACAAGGACTGAACTTTGTTTTCCTATTATCTGTTCCCCAAAAACATACAAATATGCTTTTACCCTTTCCAACCAGTATATCATAATTTTGGTTAGTCAACAACCTGGATTCTCTGGTATTTTACTAAATTTCTTCAAATTATTCAGAGTATAATATATTCTGACATTATCACTATATTGAAAAGTTTTGCCTTGAGTCTTCTAATATACCTGAGACATTTGAGAGTAAACATTTTTGTGTCTGGCTTATTTTGCGTATTAACTTGATATCTTGTAGTAGCATACTTCCATTCTTCTTTTTGGCTTAGTAAATATTCCATTGTATGTATATATACCATATATTCTTTATCCATTCATTTATTAATGGCCCCCATATCTTGGCTATTATAATTATCCATAAATTTATTATCCCAGATGACAGCTTATTATTTTCTAGAAATCCTAGGGGAAGACAGAAAGACCAATTTACCTATATTCATGTAAGGAATTTTATCTACTATGTAAAGAGAGGGCTATGTGGCTCCCCAGAAGAAGGTTCTGGGCCCCATTAAGACTGTCCATTTTACAATTCTAGTTCCAGTTCTTCTCATACATTAAAAGAATTCCAAAGGCCTGTGATCACAGGCACTGAAGAGAGTCACAGACCTTCCTGCTCCAGTTAGATCCTTGGTAGTTGAGCTGTTTGGAAGCTGCTGAGGCTTGCTTCCTGGTTCTGGTAGAGGTCCTGCTACAGATCCTAAAGCAACTGGTTTAGGTCTATAAGGTTGCTGTCTCTGTGAGGTAGAGGCAGGGGTGAGAGGCAGTTCCCTTTATATTCGATCACTGCCATCTTGACCTGATCCTGTTTGGGATCTGCAGCATTCTTGTGTATCCCCCATTCTGATCTTGGAATTGAGGCGTCAGTACTTGAAACTGCTTTGGGATCAAGTCCTTTTCTGTGAGCCAGAAGTCAGCCATGCTCATAGCTCATTTGTTGGTGTATCTCAGCTTCCCCTAGTCAATGAACTCCTCAGCATAGCCCCTCATCTTGTCCACACGCACCCACGACACCTGGATTCATTCATTTGTGTGTCACTAGTCCTGTGAGCAGGTTTCACAAAAGGTGGATGTGGGACTCTGGCCAAGGCCCAGGCAGCAAAATACACGGCCATTGGAGATAGTGGCAACACAGCCAGCCACATTTTCCCCCTTCTCCCCAGATACCTCTTTTATATGCTGTCATTATTTCCTTGAGACAGACACCCAGGAATGATATAGCTGGATCAAATGGTAGTTCAATTTTTTGAGGAGCCACCATATTGTTTTCCATAATGACTGTACTAATTTACATTCCCACCCATCATGCATAAGGGTTCCTTTTTCCCCACATCCTTGCCAACATTTTTTTTGTTTTTATATTAATCATAACAAGTGAGACGGAATCTCAATGTGGTTTTGATTTACATTTTCCTTGTGGTTAAAGATAGCATTGTTTCATATACTGACCATTTATTTGTATTTCTTTTGAGAAGTGTCTACTCAGATAATTAGCTTGTTGACTGGATCACTTTTGTTTTGTTTTTAATTTTTTTTTAGACATTGATTATTATGTCTTTACTTTATTCATTTATTTTTATGTGGTGCTGAGAATCGAACCCAGTGCCCCACACATATTAGGCAAATGCTCTACCACTGATCCAAAATCCCAGCCCACTTTTGTTTTGTTTTGCATTCTTTATGTATGTTTTACATTAATCCTCTATCAGATGAATAACTGGCAAAGATTTTCTCCCATTCTGTAGATTATTTCATCACTCTGGTGATTTTTTTTCCTTTGCTGTACAGAAGCTTGTTAATATGATGTAATACCATTTGTCAGTTCTTATTTTGTTCCCTTAGCCATTAGAGTCCTATACAGCAAATTGTTGCCTATGCCAATATCTTGAAGTGTTTTTGATTTTTTGAGAGTTTCAGAGTTTCAGATCTTACTTTAAGATATTAGTTCCATTTTGAGTTGTTTTTTGTACAGGATGAGAGATAAGAGTCTAGTTTTGGTCTTTTGTGTATGGATATCCAGTTTTCCTAACACCATTTGTTGAAGAGGCTATCTCATTCTCCAGTGTATGTTTGCATCTTTTTCAAGTATCAGTTGGCTATTATTGTATGAGTTTATTTCTAGGTTCTTGTTACTGTTTAGATATGAGGTGGCCCCTAAAAGCTCATGTGTGAGACAATGCAAGAAAATTTATAGATGAAGTAATTGGGTTATGAGAGCCTTAAGTTAATCAATGTATTAAGATGTTGATAGGGGTTAACTGGGTGGTTACTTGGGTGGGTAGGGTGTGGCTAGAGTAGGTGGATGTAATTATGGATCTGTTGAGGAATTTTGTATCCTCTTGGTTCAATTTTGGTAGGTTTTATGTGTACATAAATTTACCCATTCCTCTAGATTTTCTGTCTTCTTGATGTATTATTTTTGAAACAATCCCTAATGATCCTATGAATTTCATTAATATCTGTTTTAATACCCCTTTTCTGGGACGGGGAGTATAGCTTGGGGGATATAACTCAGTGGTAGAATGCTTCCCTAGCATGCATGAGTCCTTAGGTTCTGTCGCTAGAATGGCATAAAAAATGTGTGTGTGAGACATACACACACACACACACACATACATACATACATACACATACTTTCTCCCACTCTCCCTCTCTCTCTCTCTCCCTCTCTCCCTCCCCCCCCCTCCCTATTTGTGTCTTCTTCCATTGATTAGTTTAACTAAGAATTTGTCAATTTTGTTGCTCTTTTTGAAGAACCATCTCTTTGTTTCATTTACCCATTGTATTGTTGTTTTAGTTTGTTTATTTATTTATGTCCTGGTCTTTATTATTTCTTTCTATTGATTTTGGGTTTAGTTTGTTCCTGCTTTTCTAAGACCTTGAGATATATCATTAGGTTAGGTTATTTATTTGATATATCCACCCTCTATCTCTCTCTCTCTCTCTCTCTCTCTCTCTCTCTCTCTTAATGTAGTTAAATGAACTCCTTTTCATTCTGCTTTTGCTATGTACTACATATTCTAGGGTTGTATTGTTTTGATTTGTTCTGTTTCCTTAGACTACTAGGTTGAGCCCAGAGTCTTACACATGCCAGGCAAGCACTGAACTATGTCCCTATCCTTTTTAATTTTGAGACAAGGTCTCAGTAAGTTGACCAGTTTGGCCTCAAACTTGCCATCCTCCTGCCTGGGCCTCCCATCACCCCAGCTATGCTTCAAAGGGTTTTTAAATTTTCTTGTCTTCAGTGACCCACCGTTTGTTCAGAAATGTTGTTAAATTTCCTTGTGTTTCTATAATATCTCTTGGTTTTTTTTTTTCTTTAAGTCTCATTCCATTATGATGAATAAGCTGCAAGAAATTTATTAATTTTTTCAAATTTGTTAGGCCTTGCTTTATGGCCTAATATATGATCTGTTTTAGCTGTTGGATAAAGTATTTTGGAGGTGTCAGTTAAGAATTTGATCGTTAGTGGAATTTAACTTTTTTTTTGTTTGGATATCTGTTGGTGAGAGCAAGGTATTGAAGTCATCCACTGTTGTTGTATTATTGTGCTGGACTTTGTCTATCCCTCCTATGTCTCCCTTTATGTCCAGTGGTGTTTGTTTTATAAAAATCAATGCTCTGGCGTTCAGTGCACACATTTATAATTATTATTTCTTTTTAATGAATTGTTCCCTTTATCAGTGCATAGTGACCTTCTTTGATTCTTCTGATTTTTGCTTAAAGTATGTTTTGTCAGATGTGAGTATTGCTCATCTTACTTCTTTTAGAATTCCATTTACTTAAAAATCATTTTTGTCCTTTCACTTTCTGTTTGTGTATGTCTTTGCCAGTAAGGTGAGTGTCTTGCAGGCAAATTGTTGGGCCTTGGTTTTTAATCCAATCAGCCAGTCTACATCTTTTAATTATTGAATTTAAGACCACTTGCATTCGTGGTTATTATTGAAAGGCACGAACTTGTTCTTGTTGTTTTATTTTTTTTTCCTGGTTGTTTTGAATATTTTGTTTGTATCTTCCTCCTTTTTTCATCTTAGTTGTTTGAGGGTTTTCTATATTTGTAATGTTTTATTCTTTCCTAATTCTCATTTGTTTATCTACACTGCTACTAAGATTTATTCTTTCTCTGCTGTCATGATCATGTTTATCTTTCTTCCTCTTGTGAGTGTAGGTATATTCTGTAATGCTGATTTAATAGTCATGAATTCCCTTAGTTTATGCTTATTATTGAAGATCTTTATTTTCATCCAATTCTGAAGGATAACTTTTCTGGTTATAACAAATCTAAGTTGGCAGTTATTTTCTTTTATGACTTAAAATACCTCATTCCATGCTCTCCTAGCCTTTAGAATTTTTGCAGAGAAATCTGTTATTCTAATGGGTTTGCCTTGAAATGTAACTTGGTACTCCTCTTTTATAGTTTTTAATATTCTTTCTTTGATCTGTACTTTTGACAGTTTATAACATTGTGCAAAAGTTCTTTCTGGTTGTATCTATCTGGAGTTCTAAATGCCTCCTGAACCTGAATGTCCATGTGTTTTCCAAGATTTTGGGAAATTTTCCATTGTTATTTCACAAGATTTTTTTTTTTAACATTCATTTTTCAGTTGTAGGTGAACACAGTACCTTTTATTTTTATGTGATGCTGAGGATTGAACCCAGTGCCTCATGCATGCTAGGCGAGCGCTCTTCCTCTGAGCCACAACCCTCACAAAATGGGTTTTCCAGGCCTTCAGCCTTTATAGTTCTTCTCCCTTGTCTATTCTAGTTATACATGTTTGGTCTTTTAGTAGTGTCCCAGAGACCTTGTATGTTCCCTTCATTCCCTCTTTTTTCTCTTTATTACTGTCTGAATGTGATAATTCTTCAACCTGTCTTCAGGTTCTGGTATTCTTTCTTCATTTGATCTGGTCTGCTGGTGATACTTTCAACTGAGTTAATTTGACTTAATTTGTGCTTTCAATTTATTTGTTTGTTTCTTTTTCAAATTGTCTATTGTATTGACTTGCACATTCATATCTTGCATTGCCTTCCTTAGTTCATTCAGCTGTTTATTCATGTCCTCTCAGAATTCATTGAGCTCTTTTCCCCCAATACTGGAGATTGCGCCAACAGTGCTGTTCCACTGGACTACATTCTCAGCCCTTTTTATTTATTTATTTTTTAATTCAAAGCAGGGTCTTGCTAAGTTGCCAGTGTTGGCCTTGAAATCACAATCTTCCTGCCTCACCCTTCCAAGTTACTGGGATTATAGGCATGTGCCACCATGCCCAGCAAGCTTTTTAAAAATCATTCTTTTTGAGTTCTTTGTCCACTTTGCTGTTGTTAGAATTAGTTTCTAGAGTATAACTTTACGAGGGGTCATGTTACCTTACTTTTTCATACTTTTCTTTTGTTTCTGTGTTGAGATTTTTCCTTTCCGCTGGAATGGATGTCTCTTCCACTTTTATACGAGGGCCTTCTTATTAGTAGCCTTCTCTGGACAATGTGCTCTGGGATACCAGTTGGTTTTACAGTTTTGCGTCTAATTCCAGTTTGACTTAATAGGTTAGTTTCCCTGTAGCTTTCTTGGCTATGATTTGTGGGTTTTGACACATATGTACTGTTACAGAGCCTCAGATAACCTGCTTTCTCTTATAGGTCTCTCAAGCCTGTGATCCCTCTAGTAGTTCAGGCAGGTGCGACGGAGACCCCAGAATGATTGGGGTGGGCCCCCTGGTTACTCCTTCGGTCTTGTCAGCAATGTGTGGTCTGGTAGGGTATGGGGATGAGTTATGCTGAAGGCTCCCTGTAGATTCATTGTCCACAACCATTGTGTTATTCCTCTCTGCTCTTGATATGGGGGTGAATGATCAGGAGTGGGACTTCAAGCTCCCTGCCATACCTACTTGGAGCTGGATTAATCGCTGGTGTCTTCTCCCCCTGCCTTTTTTTTTTTAAATAAGTTGAAGGATCCACCAAGGTTCAAGCAGGACTATGTTATGGCAGGAGTAAGGTGCAGTTTCTCTGAGCGGAGCTGGAAGTGTGGCTCAACTGCAGAGCACCCACCCAACATGCTAAAAGTACCACATTTAATCCCTAGCACTTCATGGAAAAAAGAAAGTAACAGTGACAACAGCAACAAAATAGAGAAATAAAGTAAAAACCAAATTAAAAACAACCATAGCACCAACAGCAAGAAACAAAAGGGGCAAAAATACTATCAAATAAACTAAAATTAATTAAGTACAGTTAATTTAAAAAAGAAAAAAGAAGAAAAACTAAAAGTTTAAAGCGAAAAGAGGAAAGCAGGGTAAATATAGATAAGTGGAAAAAATAAAAGACAAAAATTAAATTTTTAAAGAGAAGAGAGGGCTGGGGTTGTAGCTCAGTGATGGAACTACCACACGTGAGGCACTAGTGTTCGATTCTAAGTACCACATAAGAAATAAGTGGGTGAAATGAAGGTGTTGTGTCCATCTACAACTTAAAAAGAAAAAAAAGAGAGAAGCTAGGTATGCTGTGCATGCTTGTAGTCTCAGCAACTTGGTGGGGATAATGCAGGAGGATCACAAGTTCAAGGCCAACCTGGACAGCTTAGAACCTGTCCAAAATAAAAAGGACTGGAGATATAGCCCAGTAGTAAAGCACCCCTGGGTTGAATCTTCAGTTCCAGACACAGAGAAAGAGAAAATATATATACACAAAGGAAAAATAGTGGTTAAAACATTAATAACTTCCTCCCTGTTGGTATGCACAGATTGTGCAGGTAAGAGCGGATTACCTGCAGCCTATGCAAGAACTTCAGTCTGAGAATTTTTGTCTCCTCCTTTCCTTTTTGGTGCCAGGCTTTCAGTGTGAATGGTTTCTGACAGGAGCCAGTTGGAATATCTCTCAGCTACCCTACATACTAAAATAAACTAAGGTGAAACTCAGACCTCCCCAGGAAAGATTTACTCTGGAATTACTTGTGTTGCACACTCCAAGAATGGGGCAGATGCCAAGGTTATAGAATGTCAATGGAGCATGGAGTGAAATTCGTCTGGCATAGGTTCCCTCTGGTGCCTTTTGCATTGTGCACTCCAAGGGCAGTGCTGACAGGTTCTGTATTATGTCAGATGACTCTGGCGCTTTTTGTGCTGCACTCTTTTGAATGGGGAGAGTCTATGGAGATCTTGCTCTCTGTGCTGGGGGAGTAGACAGTGGACTCAGTGTAGTCCACTGCCCTTAACTCTGGTGTTCCTGAGACTTGGCTCTCTAGCTCCCAAACAAAATCAAGTTCCCCAGATTCCTACAGCTGGCTTCCCAAAGTGCTAGTTTTAAAGGGGAAACATCTTGTTCTCCTGTGTTTCCTCTGTCCTTTAAGCATAGCAGTCCAATTTTTCACTGCATAGAATTCTCAAAACAGTTTATATCAGAGGCTCTGTCCCTGGACCAAACTGACACTTAGGGCATCTCCCCACTGAGCTACTGTAGTAATATTGACATGGGACCTAAAGACGGAAAAATGCAAGAGGCTTTGACTAAGCAGTATGCTCAGATAAGACCTTCTCAAGATGACTACCTATTACAGCACCAGGAGGATATGCTATGAAGTGTAGAGAACTTCCAGAGCCAGTTTGCCTTGCAGATCCCAAGGGCATTGACTGTATTTCTACCAGGTGACTATTCCTGAGTATGGTGCTCACTGGGCCTCTGCCTCATTCACCCATCCTCCCACTTCCCATCCTGGGTGCTTTGTTTTACCCTGTTCAATCATCTGAAGTCTCTGGGTTGTTCCAAGTCTCTGTCCACTATTGAACTTCACCATTCTCCCACCGTCACCTTTATTTGCATCTGCTCTTCAGTTATTTCATTCTGTCTCATGGGAAAATGGGCACGTTCTAGGTGCCTTCACTTGGCGGGGGGGGGCAGTGGAACAGTCTTTGTTATAACAAGAAATTGGAAACAGACCAAATATCTACTAGTAGGAGTTTCTTGACTTCTCTAGGAACAAGAGGGAAACAACTTTTACTCATACTTTTTTTTGTAACACATAAATTTGTACACTTTTTTTGTTTGTTTGTTTGGTGTATGTGTGGTGCTGGAGATTGAACCCAGGGCCTTGTGCATGGAAGGCAAGGACTCTACCAATTGAGCTATATCCCCAGCCCTGCAACACATAAATTTGAATACTCAAAATAAATTGAATAATTTGGGGGTTTGTTGAGCCTCGTGCAACTCTTGTGTTCCATAGTGTTGGTAATAAATTATTTTATGAAGATTATATATAGTATACCTAGAAACACTTTTCATTTGATTAATCAATATTTTTTTAAATTTTAGTTGAGTTTTTTTATCTTTTCTAAATTTTTTTCAGCAGAAAGCAGTGGTAGAAGACCATCTACAGAAGATACTCAGGATGTAGATTCCAAAGCAGCTTTACTACCGGTTTGTAGATTTCTATGAAACAAATACATGTAAATGAATACATATTTATTAAAGAAAAGTTAATTGGTGGTGCTGTTCTATATGAAAATTTCAAAAAAAATTTACCTTTGAAAACTTTAATCAATGTTTAGTGGCAGTTATAGAGAAAATTTCTTTTGTAGTATATAGTCAGGAAAAATTTTTGCAGAAGAAAGAAGGGCTGGACCTTTTTGTTTGAGTTAAAAAAAATAATTTCATGAGCTTATTCCTAGCCATTTGATTTTGCAAATTCCCTTTAAAAGTAAGACATCTGACATTCAAAACAAATAGCTTAGGAGAAATAAAAATTTCTTTTATAGTCAGATATGAAGAAAGCAGTGTTAATATAAAATATTAACTTGATAGATTGTGTTGCTAAAAATCATGTTATTAAACAAATTTACATCAATGGAAAGGAGTTGGCCGATGGATTTTCACAGTAACCGATCTTCCTTTTTGGAGAAATACATCCTGAACCTAAACTGCATGCTATTGCAACAAAGTCCCCTTGAAGATGACCTCACAATGCCAAATTAGAAATTTATATTAACAGTATCAGACACCTAATAACAATAGTAGTGTTTTGGGTTGTAGATAATAAAATAACTACATCTAAAGTGGTTAAAAGGCATAAAGGAACATATTTCAAGACATGAGGAAAGGAAAAAAGATACTGTGCTAAAAGACTGCCAAATTTGAAAAGAATCTAGAAATTAAGAATTAAAATGGGTGTGGTGGCACACCCTATAATCCCAGCAGCTTCTGTGGCTTGGGCAAGAAAATCACAAGTTCAAAGCCAGCCTCAGCAACTTAGCAAGGCCCTGTCTCAAAATAAAACATAAAAAGGTCTGGAGATTTGGCTTAGTAGTTAATAAGCACCACTGACACAAATAATAAATAAATACTCAATAGGGGTTAGATAATCTCTTATCCAAAGAGATTACTAAACTGCATCAGAATACATCAGAAAACAAAATGGATAGGTGGAAAATACGTTGAATGTGAAGATACATGGGAAGTGTATCTATTTGACTCAGAGTAGACAAAATTTGAAGAACTATAAATGACTTAGAATATGTAAAAATTCAAATTCAGGATCCAAACTAGAGAAATAAAAATATTTATACCTAGAAACATCACCAAATCTGCTGGATAAAAACCATTATATATACAAAGAAGGCTAAGATAAAATGCCTATATATCATTAGCAATTGTTTTTGAATTTCATTGTTTGCATGATTTTAATTTTTCTGTTTGTACTTTGATATTCTTTTGGCAAGGGGCACATTATTTTTAGAATCATAGAAACAAATGTATATTTTGTTACAGTAAGATTGTCATCAAACAATTTGTAGAACTAGAAAAACTATGCTGTGAGAAATAAGACTCCTGAAATTCTTTATTCCACCTTATGGTAGTTATATACATTTATTGTCTTATAAGTTCATTTATATGACACAAGGACTTCATATTGAATTTTTAACCCCTCATTCTTGAAACATACTATAAGAAACAAAAGTGTTAAGCACTTATGTTTCATCTAGAGATTTTTGGTTTTTGAGTTTTTGTTTGTGTTTGTTTTTAACTACAGGATTGGTTACAAGATAGGCCATCAAACAGAGAAATGTAAGTAATCCTTTTTTCAGCTCTTTGCATTATCTCTTTAATGCTCCTTTATTTATAGGTGATTATTATTCTAGCATCTCATTTCTTTATATAGATGAGATTGGGAAACATAGTTATACTTTATAATTACATTCTACTAAATCTTCCTAATAGTGAAACAATTTTGGTTTGATTTTTTTTTTTTTAATACTGAGGATTGGACCCAGGGCCTCCTCACACATGCTATGCAAGTGCCCTACCATCCATGATTACTTAGTCTTGTTTCCAACTTGTTCTTGAATAAATTTGTTGAAGTTCTGTACTTAAGTTTTATATATGATTAACTTCTCTGTCCGTCATTCTAATCAAACTTTGCAGTTTCTTTTGGAAAATACTTTGATGATTAGAGCAGTAATACACAGTGTACATTAGAGAGTCTGTATATAGGAAGATTCGCTAAAAAACTGATAGGTAATCCAGAATCAAAAGGTGGGAACAAAAGGAAACCTGACAGATAACTGTCCTTGGAAAGTGAAATTTTTTACTACAGATAAAACTTAAGGATAAAAAAGAATCAAAGATAACTTCTGTGTGCCAAACTAGGAAGTAGTATTTTAGGTTTTCTAAGCAAATTTTTAAAGTCTTGTTTTGACACTAATTTGATCCTGGAAGCATGGAGGGTTAACTCTCTGATACAGACCACTTGAGAAGGAAAGCCAATTTGAAGAAATTATACATTCCAGTAAGAATCTGAAATGGTTGTGAATATATAGAGAAGAAAATAAACCATGTGCTACATAGGTAAGCAGCTCTTCAAAATGTTTGAGTAGCCTAGCCCTGAGTGGCATTTAGAAGACCTACCTTCATTCAGACCTCTTCAGGGACTGTTATCTTTTATAATCAAAGATACAGGATATAAATACAGAATAGGTGACTGGAAGTTGATCTGAATTCTGGTGTCTTAATAAGGAAATGCTGTCTAACACAGTTGACCCAGAGAAGTATCCAAAATGTTGGAGTTCGACTTTTGTAGTGCTGAGAAAAAGAGTGGTTATTAGCAGCAGGCAAAGGGATAATGCTTGTGTCAAAATAATTCCTGTAAGCGAATAGTTATATGCTATTAAGGTAAAAATCAACCTTTAAGGTTGGATGGAATATGAAAACTGGAAAGAGAGGCTGCCATAAGCCCTTTACTCCCAAGATCCTTTTGGATCTTTTCCTTTCAGTCCTGAGCAAGGCTGCATAGCTGTATATATGGGTAGAGCAAAGCCTGGAACCCATTTTTCTGTTCTCATTCCACTCTTCTTTCAACTATATGTGGGTCTCTTATTTTGCATTGGAATCCTTGAAATTAAAAGAACTTCCACATGGGAATGGGGTTGTGGCTCTGTGGCAAAATGCCTGCCTCACACATGTGAGGTACTGGGTTCCATCCTCAGCACCACATAAAAATAAATAAAGGTATGGTGTCCATCTATAATTTAAAAAATATTTTTTTAAAAAAAGAACTTCCACTTGTTGCAAATAGACATTGTTATTAAAAATATTTTGAAGATTGTACAAAAAATTGACATTTGAAATTGAATTCTGCAGAATGACATCTATTACTGGTCTCTTGAGTTCCTTTCCCATCAGTACTATTGGAGTATTTTTAGAATCCTGGAAAGTCATTTCAAGACATTGTTATCACAGTGTAATGAATCTCCTACAAATACAGAAGTCATGAAATATTTTACTTAGTTAATATCTTACTTTCAGTTTGACACTAAACTAGGAATGATGTTTATATAGGAATAAACTGAAGATACAATTTATCAATAAACTGACTCACAATAAGGAAGGGGTAGGAAGAATAGTAGTACTTTGGATTAGACAACGGGGAATGAAGGGAAGGGAGGGGGAATGAGAACAGGAAAGATAGAATGAATTGGACATTACTATTCTATGTGAATATATGATTACACAACAATGTAATTCTACATCATGTACAACCAGAAGAATGAGAAAAGTTATACTCCATATATGTACAAAATATGTCAGAATACATTCTACTATCATGTATAACTAATAACAAGTAAAAAATATATTTTAAAAAACAAATAATCAATAAAATAGTAGATGCATATGGATATATACATATCTATGTATGAATTAATAGTTGACTAAGGGAAAATGGCAAATATTCAAATGAATGTGAATCCAAACGTCAGAATACTCGTGATAGTCCTGTAAAATAGAAAAATTGAATAGTAGCCAGAACTAAAATGTGACACAGCTTTATATTATGCTTTTTATTGTTTTTTTTTTTTTTTTTTTTTTTTTTTAGGCCATCTGAGGAAGGAACATTAAATGGTGAGTCTATGTGGTAAATTTAATATGAAAAATTGAAAATCATATATGACCTATTAAAGTCATTTGTGACCCTTTTACCCTAAGCAAGAGATTTTAGATATCCAAGTTCAAAAAAGCCAAGGTAGCTAGAAAATTTTTCCCAGGAGTTTCTCATTAATACAGATGTTTTGCAAACAAACCAATGAACAATGATCTGTTTTCTGTCACTACCACCCTTTTATCCCTATTGCTCAGACTGTTTCTTCTCTACTGTTCATTGTTCTAGTAAATTCTTTAAGTCAGATATGTGAAACTTGAGGAAGTTATAATTTACTGCTTTGACTTTGCACTTCTAATCGTGTGCTATTGCATTTACCTCTTTAGTATTTCTAGAATCCATCCTCTACTGTATATCCTACTGTGTCTTCAGTTTAGACTATCATTTTTAGTATAAATATACATTAAGAATAATTCAATAAACCCTCAGGGAATTCTCATAAAAAGAGTATACCCATGTAATCAACACCCAAAAAAACAGAATATTGTCAATATCCCAGCTCTTTTCTGGCTTCTTTTTACACCCCTGTATTAACACAGTGAAGTCGTGTGTGTGTGTGTGTGCGTGCGTGCGTGCACGCTGTGTGTGTGTGTATATATATATATATATATATATATATATATGGAATCATACAATATGTAATATTTATGTATGTCTGACTTCTAGTTATTTTTATGAAATTTATCAATGTAGGGGTGTATTGTGGTAATTTGTACATTCTTGGTACTTCATGTATTTCCTTATGTGAGTATATTAAATTTATCCATTCTAATATTTGATGAGCATTTTAGTAGTTCCCAGTATATGGCTCTTCTGATTTCTGTCATTATGAGCATTTTTGTTCATATTGTTTGGTAAACATAAGTACTCCTTTCTGTTGGTTACATGCCTAGGGGTGGAATTGCTGGGTTGTAGGGTATGTACTATGTTCATATTCAGTGGTTACTGCCAAATAGGTTTTCAAGATGGTTATACCATTTTCCGCTCCCTGCTTTTAGTTTTACTTCTAGCCTGTGTTCTACCACCAAAATGTTTTTTCTAAAAGATCTCATTTTGTCATTCTTCTGCTCCATATTTTTCTCGCTGTCAGTCAATAAAATCTATTTGCTTTCTAGTGTGGCATATTAGGCTCTTAACAAGTTGATATTCCTTGCTTCTGTAGCTTCACCTCCTTCAGGTATGCTTATACTCTTGCTCATTAATTTGTAATCTTGGCTGCATATTCAAATCACTTGTAGAGAATCAATCATGATGATACATACTTACAGAATTAGAAATAATTTGGACTAAGGTCTCTGTATCCACTGAGGAATTTAAAACACTTATGGTCATTGTGATGAATATAAATTAGTTCAGTTCATATTAAATCATTTCCCAGTGTAGTGTTCAGTTTAATACGTTCATACCTTTGCATCTTCTTGTTCCATTTAAAAGTGAAAACTTCAGAAAATTTAGAGATGAGAGTGTCTCTCTGGAGAAATGTATTTCACATTCCTGAAGTTCATCTTCTCATGACGGACTTGCTAAAATGGTTACATGGTTACATACCTCAAACCCCAAAAGTCATAAATAAAAACTCTTTTTTGAGTGGGAGGAATTGGAAGAGTACGGTTTGTGGCAAGAGAATGTGAAGCATCACGCACTTCTTCCCTTTCAGGTGTCTGGTGTATAGTAACCATCTAATCTGGCATAATGGGGAAATAAGGCACATAATGGTCGTATTTCTTTACTTATTTTTTTCTATTTTTATGAGGAGAGGTTACATAAAGGATATATAGGGTATTATATGAAAATGTCTGAACAAAAAATAATGTTGCACTAGTACTTTTAAAAATAGTCTCATTTGTGTATTTGCATTTTAGGTCTTGCATCTCCATTTAAGCCTGTCATGGATACAAATTATTATTATTCAGGTCAGTAATATAAAAGACAAAATTTAGTAATATTGTGAACTTTTAGAGATTTCATTATTTCTCTTATTTTTATGCAGCTGTGGAAAGAAATAACTTGATGAGATTATCCCAGAGCATTCCATTCACACCTGTGCCTCCAAGAGGTAAATCTCAAAAATAAGGAGATGAAAGGGAAAGTAAATTTTTCACTGATTTTTTAGTTATAGCATAGAACATGGGTGGGGACAAAAAGAAAAAGGATCACTAAGAAATGTCAATTTCATATAAATTCTTAATTAGTCTACTACATAAGAGAGGTATACTTAAGTAGAAAAAAAATTAGAAGTTTTTAATTTCTCTATTACTGGCATACCCACAAAGAAAGGTGTACTGTAATTCAGGAAAGTTCTGCCTAATGACAAAAGCATAGATAAATTTATATCACAGGATCTGTGGAACAGATAGCTCTAACTTCCTCCTAAAATTTAACTCCGAGATGTTTAGAATTTCAGTTGCTTTCTCTAAGTTTATCTTTAAAATGTTCATTATTTCAAAAATGTTTTGTCTTTATACATGAATTCAGAGATATTAAGGAAGAATATTGATTTCCTGTCATTCATCATACTAAACTTCTAAAAACTATACTTCTTTCATTTTATCTTCTATTTATTCCTTACTTACCCAAAGATACCTGCAAATTTTTATTCTACTTTGTCATTTTTAAGGACTCATAATTTGATTTTAAACTCTGTCCATTCACGTTGCAGGTGAGCCTGTCACGGTGTACCGATTGGAAGAGAGTTCACCCAGCATATTAAATAACAGCATGTCTTCTTGGTCACAACTAGGCCTCTGTGCCAAAATAGAGTTTTTAAGTAAAGAGGAGATGGGAGGAGGTTTACGAAGAGCTGTTAAAGTTCAGTGTACCTGGTCAGAACATGATATCCTCAAATCAGGGCATCTTTATATTATTAAATCTTTTCTTCCTGAGGTGGTTAACACATGGTCAAGTATTTATAAAGAGGATACAGTTCTGCATCTCTGTCTCAGAGTAAGTATCAGTGAATATATAACTGTGTAATGTAAGAACTTTGTTTTTTCACTTCTAGAGTGAATAAGCAAAATCCATTTTTAGTTTAAATATTAATCAAGGGATTTCCCTTCTTCTATAGGAAATTCAACAACAGAGAGCAGCACAGAAACTCACATTTGCCTTCAATCAAATGAAACCCAAATCCATACCATATTCTCCAAGGTAAACCTTTACATTTTTCTATGATATTTTTCTGTAATATTTTAGAATTATGTGGCTAGCAGTTTCTTGACCTTCATTATTAATGTTAAATAATTTATTCATGATCCAGATCAATTAGAATTTTCTTAACCAAACTGGTGGTAATATCTGTAACTGTTTTTCGTAAGGTTCCTTGAAGTTTTCCTGCTGTATTGCCATTCAGCAGGACAGTGGTTTGCTGTGGAAGAATGTATGACTGGAGAATTTAGAAAATACAACAATAATAATGGCGATGAGATTATTCCAACTAATACGTTAGAAGAGATCATGCTAGCCTTTAGCCATTGGACTTATGAATATACCAGAGGGGAATTGCTGGTACTTGATTTACAAGGTAAGTTTATTAAAATATTGCTATGGTGAAATTGTGTAATAAGTTCTTACCTATTTATGTGTTATTGAATCTGCTAATTTAAAATCTTAGATTGATAGAAGCTATAAAATAAGTCAATCAGCAGTAGAATATGGCCATCAGGGCTTTGAATAATGAAATTTGGCTATCTTAATTGTTGTAAAGGTAAAACATTTTGATAAGCATATGCAGCCTTTAGTATTTCATCAGCTGAATTTCTCAGTTTCCCAAGTGGTCTCTCCACATGGCTAAGTAGCTTGGGCTTTCTCACATAGCATGGTAGTTTCAGGTATTTGGACTTTTTACACGGCAATTGTTTTCTGTTAGGGAGAAAGTAGAAATACTTAGGGCTAGGCCCACATTCCTTGCTTCACATGTTTCCTGGTCAAGGCAAGTCTTTTGTTGTTGTTGTCATTGTTGTTTTTATTACTGGGGATTGAACCCAGAAGTATTTTACCATTGAGCTACATCTCCAGCCCTTTTTATTTCTTATTTTGAGGCAGGGTCTCACTAAGTTGCTTAGGTACTTGCTAAGTTGCTAAAGCTGGTTTTGAGCTTGGAGATTCTCCTGCCTCCGCCTCCTAAGTCACTGAGATTACAGGCAAGCACCACCAAGTCCAGCACTCAAGGCAGGTTATAAGGGCAGCTAGGATTCAGGAGAAGGAAAATATATTCCAGCATTTGGTGGGTGGTAGTACAGTATATAAACAGGGTATGAAAAATTCCTCGCTGGGGTTGTAGATCAGTGGTAGAGCACTTGCCTTGCACGTATGAGGCCCTGGGTTCGATCCTCAGCACCACATAAAAATAAATAAATAAAAATAAAGATATTGTGTCCATCTACAACTAAAAAAATTTTTGAAAAAATTCTTTACAACCATTTTAGAAGATAACTCTGATGTACATGTGAAAGAAGAAAAAGAAATTGTAGCTGTGAGAAAACAGCTTTGCTTGAAGTCATGTCTCTTCAGCTTTACAACAGTGTCAAAGGAAAGTTAAATAGGCAATTAGCATCCCTCTGCTTGGATAATATTTTCATATATAATTTTTCTTCATAAAGAACAGCCTTAATTTCAAATGTAAACTCAGATCATATTTTTAAGTCACATAAGAATAATTGTCTAGAATGTTTATCATTCAGTAACTCTTTTCATTATACAGATACCAATGTAAAAATTTATTTAAGGGGCTGGGGTTATGCCTCACAGATGTGAGGCACTGGGTTCGATCCTCAGCACCACAAAAAAAAATAAATAAAATAAAGGCATTGTGTCCATCCTCAACTAAAGATATTTTTTTTAAGTAAGTAAATAAATAAAAGCATTGTGTCCATCTACAACTAAAAATATTTTTTTAAATTTATTTAAAAGCAAACAGTTTATTGATTCAGCTCAGTGAAAATTTGTGTAAATATAACTTTTTCAGTAGTTCATCATTTTATGTACATTACTAACTTGGTGTGTAGTATATAGTAAAAACTTGTATATAGTAAAAACTTGCTCTTTTATTAGTTAGGTCAGCTATATTCTTATAATATTCTAATAAGATTCTTCAGTATGTATCTCTTAATTTTCTTCAAGTTGCAAGTAAATGAGACCAAACAAAATTTCCTGCTTTATTTTTATTTAATTAAAAGGGTGGTAATTATTTTCAGTGAGCAAAGTACAGTTGAATTGACCCTTAAACAACATGAATTTTAACTACACAGATCTACTTAAATATGGATTTCTTTTTTGCAGGTTTGTGATAATTTTTAAAAATTCACAGATGAACCATATAGTGTAGAGTTACCAAAAAAAATAAGAAAATGTTAAGTATGTCATGAATGTATAAAATATCTGTAGGAAATAGTCTATTTTATCATTTAACTACCATAAAATATATTCAAATTTATGATAAAGAGCTAGAATTTATCAGTATTTATGCATACAGGGTGCACATGGTGCCATTGCAGTCAAGAGAAATGTAAACAAATGTAAAGAAGTTGTCAGCCTGGGGATATAGCTCAGTGGTAGTGTTTATCTACCTAGCTTCACAAGGCCATAGGTTCTATCCCCAGTACCAAAAAAATAAAAAATTTTTTAAAAGGTAAGAAGGTAAGAAATTTTTAATAAATGTAAAGACATGATATTAACTCATAACTGCATAAAATTACAACACATATTGTATTACTATAAAAATTTTATAGTCACTTTCTCTTGCTAGTTCAGATGTTCCAAGCATCCATTTAAAATGCTGTGTGACCTAGTGTGACAACATATACCTATAATCCCAGCTACTCAGGAAGCTGATTCAGGAGGATTGCAAGTTCAAGTCCAGCCTGGGCAACTTAATAGACTATGTCTCAAAACAAGAAAATAAATAAAAGGGCTGGGAGTATAGCTTAGTGATAGAGCACTTGCCTACTGTGCTTGAGGCTCTTGGTTCAAGCCCCAGCACCACCACCCAATAGATAGATAGATAGATAGATAGATAGATAGATAGATAGATAGATAGATAGAGTACTGCAGTTCATCTTAGAAATTGTAATCTCTTGACATTCTCCTATATTCTTCACTGTATAATACATAATATATGTTAATCAGCTATGTTATCAGTAAGCCTTCCAGTCAACAGCAGGTTATTAATTAAAGTATTGGGAGAGTCAGAAGTTATACACAGAAGCTGAATGCATTGGCATGAGCCTGTAATCTCAGCAATTCAGGAGGCTAAGGCAGGAGGATTGCAAATTTGAGGCCAGCTTCAGCAATTTAGCAAGGGTGTAAATAACTTAATGAAATTGTGTCTCAAAATAAAAAGGACTAGGGATGTAGCTCAGTTATAAAATGCCCCAGGGTTCAATCATCAATACCCCAAAAAAGAAAAAATATATATATATATATACACACAGAGTTTGATTGGTAGTGAGTGGCAGGCCTTGGCCCTTGCCTCTAACTTCATCACTGCCAACACTAAGCCTGGCATCATGGATAACAGATGGAGCCATGTTGCAGGCAGCCTCACATCAGTGGTACCCACCAGCCGAGACAAAAGCAGACAAGAATCTCATCACAGGAAAAATTTTGGGAGCAGTTAAATAAAGGTTCAGTGTAAGAAATGGATACAGTTTTATTAACAGGAATAACATCAAGGAAGATACATTTATATACCAGACTACCATAAAGAATAACCTAAGGAAGTACCTTTACAGTGTAAGAGTGAAGGCTATGGAGTTTAATGTTATTAAAGGAGAAAAGGATAAAGAAGCAATAGACGTGATGGTTCTTGGTGGAGTTCCAGTTCAAGGCTGGAAAATATATACAGTAGACCGTAACCATTCAGTCATAGTCTTTGTGCATTTACCAGCAGATTTACCAAAATAGTGGGAAAAGAATGAGGGATATGAGAGCATTTCTGAAGGCCAGTTCCAACAATGCTGGTCCTTCTGCAGGTGAAGATTCCCACCTTATTACATGCAGAGACCCTATGCGTCGACCACAGTATTCCAATTCTCCTGTACAGGGAGAAGTGGTGGAGGGTGCTGACAACCAGGGTACAAGGTAGACCCATGAGACAGAATGTGTATCAGGGTTATAGACCTCGATTCAGCAGGGATTTCTCTCCAAAGACATACTAGAAAGGACGGCAATAAAGAGGATAAGGAAAATCAAGGAGATGAGACCCAAGGTTAGTAGCCATCTCAGCATCAGTACTGCTTCCATTTTGGTTACCCACACAGACACCCAAAAAATCTTAAATCACAAGATGGCAAAGAGACAGCTCACCCATCAGATGAGATTTTGCTCCCTTCAAGACTGAGCAGGACAGGGTTTATTAAATGTCTGCTTACCATCTCAACCATCACCTCAACACAAAGAAATGAATATGAAATTCCAGCAATAAGATAAACAAAAAGATTGGAGCTGAGTACCATAAGTGCTTGCCTTTTGCCCAGATAACTAAAACTATCTGCATTATCTATGCAGTGTGGGGCTTTTCTTATTTTTACCAAAAGATTTCTCTTTTTGGTAATAAGAAATATGTTTGTTTTTGTTTGATCTAGTTTTTCTCAATACACTTTTAAAGGTTTTTAAAACTTGCTCATATCTGGTCAAGATTTTTAGGGACCTCATTTTTAACTTATAATGAAAGTTTGCAACAATTTTTTTTTTTTTAAGTTAACAAACAGCAAGCACTTGTTAATAAAGAAAGACCTGGAAAAACTTTTGAAAATATTATGTGCATATATTTGACTGCACAGGAAATCAGTACCCCTACCCTTACATCATTCAAAGGTGATCTATAATTGTGATTTTCTTTATATAATTAATGTGTTCATAAAGCCTTTTTTTTTTTTTTTTTTTTTTTTTGACACAATACCTTTATTTTTATGTGGTGCAGAGGATTGAACCCAGTGCTTCACATACGCCAGGCAAGTGCTCTGCCACTGAGCCCCAGCCCCATAAAGCCATTTTTGAAGGAATATTTTAGATGATTCCTATATAATTTAACATTAAAAATATAAACAAAGTGTTCCCATCCTTAATGTTTCTTTACTTCCATAAAGACACACACAAATGAAAATACCCCCTCCTTAATTTTTTATCATTTTGTTGTGTTGTGATGGTTTTCCCAAAACTGCGATCAGGAGATGTATATTTTTTTCACTTGTTTTTGCCACCTAACAATATACCATGGACATATTTTAGGTTGTTATTTATTAAATCTAAGTTATTTCTTTTAATAGTTTTGTGATAGTCTGTATAGCATTTACATCCTTTATTGACACTATAAACAGTGCTGCTGCAAACATACACATGTATTGCTTGCTACTTTTATTTCCATAAAGTAGGTTCCTAAATGGGCTTAGTAAAAAGGAAAAGCAGTTTTTGAAAGTACCTCCATAGAAAGCTGAATTTATATTCAGCATTGTATTCAAATGCCCATTTCTTTACAGACTCTCCAGTGTTGAATATTCCTTATCTTTGCCAATCTGTTGGGTGGAAAAGAGTATTGCATTTTAATTCTGATGTTTTTTTTTCTTTTGTGGATAAACCATTTAATTAGGTTTCATTCTAATAGGTTAAATTTGCTGATTATTCAAAATGTCAGTAGGTGGTATTTATATATGAATATATGAGAGACTAGAAAGATTTAACCATGCTTTTAATAACTCTGGAGGGGGCTGGAGCTGAAGATGTTCATAATCTTACTTTTTATGTTCTGAATATCTTTATAATTTTATTATATATTAACATGTGATTTTTTTTTCTTAAATCAAAAATGTTTCTTTTAAAAGTCCTATGGATTTATGCTTCTTTATGTACCAAATTGTCCTTTGCTAATAACTAAGGTGGATCAAGGGCAGACTGTATAGACCTTTCACATAAGGCCCTGTTGAATCAGAAACTGGGTACCAATAGGAGCTTACATGCCTACTTTCTCACTTTGACATTTAACTCTCATTCACATCACAGGATCTATGTTCCTGGTGGGATGCCGAGGTTATAAATCAAGTTATGAAATATTAAGAGAGAAGAACTTATACTCCTTTGAATAATTTTAACATTGTAATGATGGATGATGTGGTAAAATAACCTCTAGACTTTTATTATGCAAACGTCAATGTTAATATCAATTATGTAATAAAAATTTTTGTCTTTTTTACATATACATAAAGGTGTGGGTGAAAATTTGACTGACCCATCTGTGATAAAAGCAGAAGAAAAGAGGTAATAAGTTTTAACAATTTCATTAAGGCATATTTTCAGATTCTACATTTCTGTTTGCATAAATTTTCTTTTTTTTTTTTTAATCAATTTCACAGATCCTGTGATATGGTTTTTGGCCCAGCGAATCTAGGAGAAGATGCAATTAAAAACTTTAGAGCAAAACATCACTGTAATTCTTGCTGTAGAAAGCTTAAACTTCCAGGTAAAAAAATGTCTTAATATAGTACATAAATTGTTAGCCAAGGTAGTTACTACAATAGTAATAACCAATAGTAATAACTACTTGGCTAAGGTTAGGTAGCCAACTAATTTGGCCAAGTTAAGGCTAAGGCTAGAGGTACAAGTATTTGATTTAATGGTCTCTAATTTTTTCAACCTCAGCAGCAACCCAATACACTTCCCTTCTTTTGTAGATAGTGTAATTAGTTGAGATTACTTATGATTACACCCATTGGTTAATAACACAATCAAAACTGAGCTATAATTGCATATCTCTCTACTATTCTTGGTATAGTACAGCTACATATTAGTTTGTATTCCCTGAGGCCATACTGCATTGTCTTGAAGTAAAATTTAATTAAAAAAAAAAAAATACATGTAGTTGTGAACGTGTATTTGGGTCATTTTATGTAGACTATTTTTCAGATTAAAATAACAGTTCATATTTTGAGTATCAGTTCTTTTTTATATTCATGTAAAGGTACAAGAGTATAAGCATGACCATGCTTGATTTAAATTATAAATTTGATATTACTGCATAAAGGTTTCTAATTCTATTCTCATCTGTCATAACTCCTTAACCTGTTTTGTCCCATTATCCCAAATGTGGAACACTTATAAAAACATGGATATAGTATATATAATATGATATAGATTATAGTAAGAATATTTTAATGATTATAATGTGATTATATTTCTGACGTATTTAAATACAATATTTCCAACTTATTTTAATACACCTGTGTCAATTTCATTGAAATGTTCACAGAATTGAAAACTTAGAATTTGATGGTTTAAGGGTTAAGTGATTTCATCCTGTCTCATGGCTATAAATGCATTTTACATACTGACTGTAGCAAGTTTATCTAAAGACTTAACTACTTTCTTGTGCTCCTGTTTCTGATATCCTAAAGTATCTTTATAGTAACATATCTATTCCAGAGCTCTTGATTTTTCATCTCCCACCCCTACACACAAGTCTCCACTTCTACATTTCGCTAATGCTTGACCCAGCTAGCTGCTCAGCCTCTAAATTAAAACTATCCAGTGTCTTTTCCCTCACTTTTCATGACCAATCCATCAAGTTCTATATACTCTTATTCTGAAATCTCCCCTAAAATTCATCATTTCTTTTTCATTTTAATTGGCACCATCTTGTTTCTTGGATGGCTGCCATTTACCCCTAACTTCACATGTCCATTAGAATATTTATTTAAAACAAATCAGATTATAGTTCTCCCGTGAGACTGCTTAAAACCTTCCAGTAGATTTATTTTAATCTGTGTTATACATCATAGTTTACATTCCCTAAATCAAGGGTTGGTGAACTTTTATAAAGGACAGGTAAGTGTTTTCTACTTTGTGGCCATGCGGTCTGTGTCTCAGCTACCTAATTATACCATCACAGTGCAGAAACAGTTGTAGACAATAAACAAAGAACTTGGCTGCATTGCAGCAAAATTATTTATAAAAATATGCAACAGGCCAAATTTAGCCCACAGGTTATAGTTTGACAATGCTTGGCCATCAACTGCTGCTTGACCTCATTTTCTGCTAGTCTTCTCACTTGCTATACATAAGTCACACTGTCTACATGCCACTGTTAGTGTATATCAAGTCTTAATTCTTTCTTAGTCTTTATAGTTAACCTTCTATCTTCCTAGAACATTCCTTTTAGAATTTTAATTTACTTCTCAATATTCAGGTCTGTACTCAAGAGAGTCTCTTCCTCTGGCTTTTCTGCCCAGCCCTGTCTGAAAGAATCACCCTATACCGTCTCTCATCTGGCCCTTATCATACTTCATCATATTCTTCTCTTCAAAGCACTTGTTACTGTTTCTAATTGTATTGTTTTTCAATTTGCTTATTTTCTATCATCCACTATAATATAGGCTCCATGAACAAGGACCTTGTCTGCCTTTTCGTTTGTATATTCCCAAATTTATATGAATGGCTGCTGATTAATAATGATCAGTGTGTAATAATTGTGTTTGTTCAATGAATGATTTCATTTTTATGTATATAAATTTTGTGATCATTAAATATATAACTGCAGAAAATAAGGTCTAATGTTTAGAGGAAAATTTATTAATAAAATGTTCTTAATTCTCCATTTCTAAGAAATACTGACTTTTTTTTTTGTTTGTTTGTTTTTTGTTTTTTGTTGTTGTTGTTGTTGTTCGGGTTGGTGAATGTAGATCTGAAGAGGAATGACTATACACCTGATAAGATTATATTTCCTCAGGAAGAACCTTCAGATTTGAATCTTCAGCCTGGAAATTCCACCAAAGAATCAGAATCAACTAATTCTGTTCGTTTGATGTTATAATATTACTGAATCATTGGTTTTGCCTAACTTCCCTCAATGTTACTATGTCACTTTCCTTCAGGAAGAAATTGTTAATATAGAAAAGGTGTGTGCAAGTTGAATTTGTTGACCCCAGCACAGTTTAAAGGTCAATATTCTTTTGACCTAATTAGTCAATTAGAAACTCCCTATAGGATTCAGTGGACAGCTGAAGAAATTTTAAAGGTAATGGAAAATTAGTATTTAAAAATTTTGAAGGGCTCTTAAGCAGAGGGTGTCATTTTACTTAGTTCTGATGAGGGTGATGATTCCCTCTTATGTGGTGCAATACCATTAACCAAAGTTAGGTGTCTGTGCACATTTTATTGGCAGCTGGTTTATTGCCATTCAGCTAGAGAAATGAAGAAAACACTTAGCCTTTGGTTAAATGGCAGTCAGAAGTCTTCCTCGCTGTGTTCAGTGATGTCACTAACTCTCTACTAGATGCTTGTTGGACATGAAAAAGGTGACTTCTAATTCTAGGTTCATGGAAATATAAAGAGCCTCAGCTGAAGACCATTTTCTAAGAAAGACTTTATTTATGAATCAGGGTTAGGCTCCTTATTTAAAGATAGAGCCATTTTTTTGTTAGAGCCCAATTGTGCAAAAGTATTAGTTTTTTGTTTTGTTTTGTTTTGTTTTGTTTTTTAACATTGTCTTATCAAGCCACTGTTAAGCAGAAGAAAGCCATGGTAAAAGGAGATATTTAACTCGCTCTTCAAGGGAATGAGAAAAGTTACTTTTTCCCTATCTGTGTCTGTAGTGGAAGTTACATACTTCCCCAAAGATGTTATTGACCAGTATATCAAATCAGAATGTAAAAGTGAGCTCTTGCTTTTATTTAAAATTATGTGGGAACATCTGAACATGAATGTTGTTTGTGGTACTTATTTAAGAGATTAAATGAATTGGATCGTCATTATGTGATGTCGGGAGATTGCAATGCAACTATGCCAATAAAATGTAATTTAACTGCCCCAGATATTTTTGAATATTCAGCGACAACAAGAAAAGCTTTTCATCTAAAGTTTTATGCTTTGATTTTTCCCCCCTTTTTTTTTTTTTTCTTGTTGTTTCCTAGGTACTAGTTTTAATTATTATTTGGAAGGAAGCAATGTAAAGCTTATTTGTATTCAGTAGTGTATCTCATAGATACAGACAAGGCAAGCAGAGATAAGCTGTTTAAATAGTGTTTAATATTGATGGGGGGGGAGAAAGAAAAAGTGTATTACTTAAAAGATATTATACTATATACATTTTGTATATCATTAAATCTTTAAAAGAAATTAAATAAATTTATTCTTGTTTACAGATGTTTAGTGAGTTTAATCATTCCTAAAAAATATTTGACATTTTCAGGATATCAGTTTATTTTCAGAGTAATAAACCATTTTTATACACCTATGCTTTTTGATGTCCTATTTGTATGATGTTTAAATGACACTTGTTTCCTGTACTGTTTTTTTTTCCTTAAGTTTCTTGCTGATCAGAAAAGGTGATTATCTGTTCGCATTTAATTTCATGTTGCTTATTTTCACAAGATAATAATAGCTAAGAATTAGTTTGTACTGTTTGTCAGGCATTGCTCTAAGTATTTCGTATTTATTAATTTATTTAATTCTTATAATGATTTTATTAAATAAGTATTAAGGATTGTTATCCTATGTTGCAGATTAGAAAATCGAAGTGCTAGAGAGGTGAAGTAGCTTTCCTGAGATTTTTGTACTTTAGTATGTAGTAGAGTTAAGATTCAAACTCAGCCAGATTGTCTTTCCTCTGTGCTCTTAAGCCACATGTTTTATTGACTCTCAAGCATAGTGACTAGGTGGTTAGCACCTAATCACTGATGGCTTCTGTACCATTTCCTGCTCACTCTGCTGAAACAGATCTTCTCCATTAACCCACTAAGTCCCAAGTTTTCAGTTCTGAAAATATTTTAATGAAATTGATATACGTGCATTAAAATAGGTCAGAAGTAATAATTTAGAGCTTATATATAATTTGTTAATATTAATAGCTTTAATGAATATTATTACTATTTACCTATTGCTTTTCTCAAAATAATAGAACTCTAAAAAACATTTATTTCAGAGTTACCTTGATTGATATATTTGTTGTACAATTTGAATTTTGCTTGTTTGTGATGCTGGGGCTTGAACCCAGGGCCTTGCACGTGCTAGGCAAACACTCTGCCACTGAACTACATCCCCAGCCCTTCAATTTGTGTTTTTTAGGTATTCCTTAAATGAGCTAATGGGGTGACCTTTTTGGTTAATTCATGACAGTAAAAGTTTATCTATAAGTTGCATTTTTCACCATAAAGAAAAATTATCACTGCTCATTATATTACTCCATGGTCAGAAATTGTCATTTGCTAAGTCTCTAAATTTTTTTCTTCTTAATCTCATCCTCTGGAGAGAATGAAACACTTTTACTAGATTAATTCTTTGAATTTTTGGAATTCTCTTCTGCAGTTGTTCTCTAATAATATGCCTTCTTCAATCTGTTGATGCATGTGTACCATTATTCTGTTAGAAGTAATGCATGTTGATTTATTGTGACATAGAAAATATTTTAAAGATATAAAGGAAAATTACACATCTTTCTCACCCTCAAGTCAGACTATGTTGCTTTCATAGCTACTATCTATGTATTCACCACAGTAGATTGCACACTTCACAGAGAGAAAGGATCCTCAGATTTTTCACCAGGTAGTTAACCCCTTGCATGATACGCAGTTTGTGGGAGGCACAGTAAAAAATATGAATGTTAAAAATGTTTTTTCACAATACCATCCTCTCTTAAGGAAGATCACAATGATGCTCTCTTACATATTTAAGTAGACAATTGAAGCAAGAGTACACAATAAACAGCTGCTTATTATTTAAAAAGAGATCATTTGCAGGAAAGTGTGTGTCTGCACTGCAGAGATTTTTTAATCATCCTTATTTATTGTATCTGTTGTTGTTTTTACACAAGGCATCTGTATTGTAGGTCCCAGATGATGTTAGCTTTCTCTTAGGCAAATTCTAAGCCAAGCTTCTGATCCTCTCTAGAATATGTTTTCCTTTTGTAGGCTTTTTGGAAATTCCTTTAAGCAGAGTTCTTTCCCTGGGGTCTTGTTGGTCATGGAGATGGGAGAGGATATAATTATTCTTCAGAAAAGCTACACATGTCCACTGATAGTGGACAATACCAAACAAGAGGGCACTCCCCACCCAATATTAGCATTCCTTCATTTGTTTTTCCCAGGCAATTTCCATGCTTTCCTACATTATGGAATTTTTCTCTCATTTGAATTATAAATATCTCAGTATATGTTCGTAAAATATTAAGAACTATATTATTGCACCTAAAAAGTTTACAATTCCTTATTATCATCAGATACATAGTCTTTGTTCTTAACAATTTTTTAAAAATAATTTTAGTTAGGATTCAGATAGGGTTCACACATTGAAATTGCTTGATTTGTTTTTAAAGTCTCCAATATGTAGATTTCCCCTTCCATCTTTTTTTCTGTTTGTTTTTGGAAGAACTGATGTATTTAAGAAGTTTTCCACATTTGGAATCTTGCTATTATTTCTCTGTTTTCTGCATATGCAGTTATTAGATGTAAAGGCTTGATCAGATTCAGGATTAAATTTTTGACAAGAATGCTTCATTGATGGTCAAGTATACTTCACTACACAATAAATACCCACTTATGTTTGGATGGTCATTGCCTTGGATTACTCTCACATACTTAAGCAATTATATGAGTTACAAACAGAACTACTCATTGATTGATTGATCGTTGATTAGAATGACTGGCAGGGAAAAAACCCACCATATTCAGACTTGAATATTTGGCAGAAGACTTATTTTTTGCTAATGCTAAAATTTGAGATTTCAAACAAAATTAGAATTTTGGAAAACTTGCCTCTTAATACCAGTAGCATGATAGCTTTCCAATTACTTTCTAAAGAAATTTGTTGGTATTAAAAACAGTGTTTGTTTGTTGTTGTTGTTTTAATAGTAAAATGAGATTTTTTTAATAGTGTAAAATGAGATTTGGGAGATCCACATAACTAATATTTTCCAATGCATAACCAGTGTTTTCCAAATGACCCTCAAATTGCATTTTAAAATGATACATAAGTGAAATATCTAACATAATAGGCAAAGTTTTTTGGTTTTTTGTTGTTGTTTGTTTTTTGTTTTAATAGGGTTTCAAATTCTACATTTCAATAAACAATGATACGACAATTGGATATTCACATGCAAATGAAGGTGGACTCAGTTGGACTTCCTTCTCATAGCATATACAAAAATTACCTCAAAATATTTGTTTTTGGTATCAGAGATTGAATCCAGGGGCTCTTAACCACTGGGTGACATCTCTAGCCCTTTGTTGAGACAGGATTTCACTAAGTTGCTGAGTCTGACTTTGAACTTGCAGTCCTCCTGCCTTAGCTTCCAGAGCCATTGGGATTATAGGCATGTGTCACTGTTGATTTTTAAAATCTAAATATAAGAGCCAGGCTGGGGTTGTGGCTCAGTGTGTGAGGCACTGGGTTTGATCCTCATAAATAAATGTATTGTGTACACATAAAATAAATAAAGGTATTATGTCCATCTACAACTAAAATATTTTTAAATAAATAATAAATAAATATAAGAGCCAAAATTTAAATAAAAACTCCTAGAACAAAATTCAGAGGTAAATCTTTGTGATGTCAGATTAGGCAATAGTCTCAGGTAATGACATCAATAGCATAAAAACCACAGAAAAACAGGCAAATTGAACCAATCAAAATTAGAAACACTTGTGCTTTAAAATACACTCCTAACTATGAAAAAAATAACCCATGGAATAGGAGAAAACTCAAGTCTATCTGATAAAGGACACAAAAAGACTCTTAAGCTCAACAATAAACCTCAATTTTTTAAAATGAGTTAAAAGATCTGCATAGGTCTTTTTCCATATATCGATACAGTGGAAATATTATGTAGCAATAAAAAGAAATGAAGTAGGGATACATCCTATGGGCCTTTCAATTTTGTAGCTACTGCATTTTATATTCACTGCAGAGCAAAATGGAGCTGGATAGACTTGGACTTTCTCATTCTGTCACTTGTTCCATGAGTGATGTCAGCTAGTTGAGCAGGCATCTCTGAGAATATCTGTCTCATAGTGGGGTTAGAAAGGTGCTGTGAGTTAAGTATTCAGCACATAGGGTACTCCAATATTAAGTCCCTCGTTACTACATTCTTTCCACGGGAGGTGTGATAGATAAAAATTTTCTAAATATGATAAGGCTTCAGGGAAAGATGGCAGTAAGAGCAAACAAAGTCTCATTTCTATTTAGGAAGTATTACCGATAATTTGACTTCATTTGAAAAGTAATTTTAAGTAGGTATGAGTAACACTTGCTATCTTAACTTTCACTATGTGGTCTCCAGGGCTAAATAGATTAATGAAAAATTTCATATAAATTCATTATATATCCTCCATAGCTTAAAAATCAGATAGGTTGGGATAATACAGTGTCCCATGCTATTTAAACTTTTGAACTGAAAAGTTAAGATGTGAGTTACTTTTATATTTGTAGAAGTACTTAAAGAAAATGTTAGTAATATTAAAACAATGTAAAATTTCCAGATAATTAGATGGAAAGAAAAGTATCTAAGGGATGAGGAAGTTTTTGTTTTTTTTTTTTAAGTACCCCACCAATGGAGAAGCAAAAAATTAACAGAAGGACTCCCTTCTTTTCTTCACTCATCTACAATTTAGTCTGAAACCTGTGGAGTGAAGACATGTTAGACGAGAAGCAGTGACCTGGCATGGGGCGTCTCAGCATGAAGAGTGAGATGGGAGATGGAAAGGACAGCAGCAGTGGCAGGAGTTTGATTACATGCAGAAGGGCGGATCACAGAAGGAAATATATTGAGGATAATGGGAGTTAGGTATGCCACTGTTGAAGATGAGGTTGTAAATATGGGAAGGGGAAAAAAACTAGAGTAAACCCTGAAAGATTTGGAATTGGGATTATCTACGTGAATTCATAGTTCTCAAAGTACAGTTCCACATGCAGATGTGGATTTCTGTATGTACGTCTTCCCAGCTCTTTCTACTGAGACAACCTGGAAGTAGTGATGTGGTAATAACCTCTGTATACCCAACTCTGAGTGCCTAAATATTCTTCCCCACTAACAGGAGCCAGGACTCAAGAGAAGTGGCTGACAGTGTTGTGGGCCAAACTATATGCCTTGACCAGAGAAACTCCATTTTACCCTGAGACTACATGTCATGTAAGAAATGCTTCTCTCATGAGAAAACCCTGCCTCTGCCATCCTGATCCTGCTTAGCACACCCTACTTAGAAACTGACAGCCTTGGGAAAGTGTTTCCCTTCTTGTACAATATAAAATTGTTCTTTCGGGTTTCCATTTTTCTTAGGCAAAGGACTGACTGTACTGGGTCATTCTGACCCACTCCCCATGTTGCTATGGTTTTGACTTACTGGTGGCTTGCAGTTTTTTGCAAGAAGAGTACACTCTACCTTCTGCAGGGGGTTGAAGATTGCAGAGGCAACTTGTCTGTTGCCCTTCAACCCAACAGCAAATAAAGAAAGGTTCCATGTCTTGTAACTTCAAGACTGACCCAGTGATTTTTTTCAAATACACCACAACAACTTCAGGACTAGGGCAGGGCAGTACAAGATAGGTCCGAAAGATCCTGATGTGCCAAAAAGAAAGGAAGAATTAAAAACATGGGGAGATGTGAAATGAACACAGCAGACATGTTGAAGGGCCTCCTGCAAACTAATCTTGGGATGATTTGAACATCAAAAATAAATAACGGGCTGGGGTTGTGGCTCAGCAGTAGAGTGCTCACCTAGCACGTGCGAGGCCCTGGGTTTGATCCTCAGCACCACAAAAAAATAAATAAAATAAATGTGTCCAACTACAACTAAAAAACATTTTTAAAAATAGCAATAATAACTGAACAAAATAGGAATCCATAAAAGAATTTTTAAAAAAGGAGAAAACTCTTCTTTTATAGCTGAGTACCAGCTGATTAATGTGAAAATGACATTAGAAAAACTTCACAAGCACCATAGCATTACTTGATCCAGCCAAGAAACACTGACTAATGTCAAAAGTACTTTTTGGAAGTTTTTGTTTGTTTTTTGTTGTCTGTTTTGGTACCAGGGATTGAACTTGGGGCACTTGACCACTGAGCCACATCTCCAGCCTATTTTGAATTTTATTTAGAGACAGCATCTCACTGAGCTGCTTAGTGCCTCGCTTTTACTGAGACTCGCTTTGAACTCAAAATCCTCTTGTCAGCCTCCCGAGTCTCTGGGATTACAGGCGTGTGTCACCATGCCTGGCTAATGTGTGGAAATTTGATGAGGAACAGGCCAATTACATAGTCTCAGAACATCTCTGCAAAATAGTAATTACGAATTACTATAATGGAGAAATCTGGCAGTTCCCACTTTATTGAAGTTATCACGTTTAACCTCACCAATGTTGGGGCAAGTTAAAATCTTGAACCTCCTAATACAATACAGTAAGAAAACACCATCACTTCTGTGAGATTCTTTCTAAAATATATAGTGTGAGACTAATCACAAGAAAATAGCAGGCAAACCCATCCCTGAGGGATGTTCTTCAAAATAACTGGCTAGTGATCTTCACTCACCTTCATGCTACTCAAACCATTAGCATCAAACTGGCAAACTGATAATCAGAGGTTTTTGCTTCAGATAAAAACACTGCCACATTTTTTTAATCTTAATTAAATGTACAAACTTGAACATACACATAAGGATCATTCCCTCTACTGGAAATTAGTATTATATTTCTCATCTAACAAAAATTTCTTTCCTTTGATTTGGTAAAGAGAAACAAGAATTTTGTATATTGGAGCAGAGCCCAGGAACTTAACTTGAGGTTATATGCAGGGATGAAAATAATCTCCTTAATAACAAAAACAAAAGGTGAATTTGAACATCTGGCTCTTGCTCATGGATATAGATTGCAAAATAAAAATAATCACACTACGTTACCAGAACTTGGCAATCATTACTGATTCAGATGTCAGTCTACCCAGTGCTTTCTTAAGCAGAGTCCTCTGTGAAGAAGAAAAGAGGGTCTAGGGTTGTGGCTCAGTGGTAGAGTGCTTGCCTGGCATGCATGAGACACTGGGTTCGATCCTCAGCACCACATAAAAGTAAAATAAAGATATTGTGTCCTCATAGAACTAAAAAAAATAAATGTTAAAAAAAGAAGAAGAAAAGAGAACTCAGAAGATCATGAGTGCCCCATAACTTCCCAGTTTGTCAATTCTATGATAAACCTGTGTGGCACTAGTAATGTGTCTATGTCCACCCTCCACCTCCACCCCCAGCATATTAGTTGATGACAAAGAAAGGAAATATTCCACTCTGTCCCTGTGCCCTGGGAGCAACAAAACCCAACTGCCTCTCTTCCCAGAGTGAGAACAGTCCCTCAGGATCTTGGGAAGGGTGAAGTCAGTGGGAGGGAGAAATAGGTGCCCAAAGTGGGCAGGGTTGCCATAGTGTCCTTGGTGGAAGGACATATTTTGTATACATGTCAGGGGGGATATTTGTGTGTAAAATATATACTTACATGTCACAAACCCACATGACCATTTACTCAGTTTCTCAAACTGGGTGGTGAGGGGATTGGAAAAAAAAGACAAACAGATACAAAAGTAGAAAAAAGCAGGACCTGATGGATCAGCCAAACTTCTCATGGAAGAAGACTTACTATGAGCAGGCCCAGCATGTTTATTATGTAGGTTTAAACATTAAAAGGATTTGTTGTGAGAAAGCTTCTTTAAGATAAACAAAATTGAAGTCGTGGGCAAAACAGCTCAATTAGAGCATATCAGCTTGTACCCATAACTCTACATCTGGGCAGCTGGCTTTTCAACTCAAGATTATGAACTAATAAATTCTGTGGCTAGCACAGAATCCCCCCTTTTAAAAAATTTACTTATTTATTCTAATTAGGTATATATGACAGAATGCATTTTGATTCATTGTACACAATTGCAGCACAAATTTTCATGTCTCTGGTTGTACACAAAGTAGAGTCACACCATATGGGCAGTCATACATATACCTAGAGTAATGATGTCCATCTCATTCCACCATATTTCCTGCCCCCATGCCCCCTCCCCTCCCAGAATCCCCCTTTTAACAGTGTAATACCATCAACTGGGTAGTTTTGGATCGGCACCTTTGCACTGAGAAATTCCCAAGGGAGGTGTCACCTCTGTCTCTGGGCAACTCAAAGCAATGATTGATTCATTGCTCCTGACACACAAGAGAAACAGAGTGATGGAGAAAAGATATATGTACATTTCATTCTTGGAAATCTAATATTATAAATGCATTTCAGACAACCAAGTAACAGTATCTCCTGGCAACATTCTAGAATCTTGAGGGTGAGTGGAAAGGATTATGATGCATGAAAAGATTCAAGTTGGAATGGTGTCTGACACCAGTCACGATCAGTTGGCAGCTATTGAAAGGGGGAAGAGTTATAAATTATTTAAAACTAACAAGAAGAGCCGGCATAACAGGCTTGGAGAAATGAAGTTAAAAGCATTAGCCGGAGCTCCTGAATAGAAGTGAAAGTCCAACGTGGTTCTATTAAAATGACTTCTCATCAGTCATTCCCTGCAGACGACTTCGGTATCTACTATGTCCTGTGAGCCTCTATTTATTACAGCTTTCTAGATAAACTCAGGTAGAGGGAAGAGCCGTGTTCAAAGGAGTGAAGGGATTAGAAAGGGTTAGATTAGAAAGGGTTCCCCCAGGTTTGACCCAGAAGTAAAGGAAGATATTATCTAATATCTAGGCAATCAATACATGCACTTCTAAAGAGTGACAGTCCAGGACCTCTGTGACATTGGTAAATAAAAGTGAAAATGGCCATTTGTGTAACATTGAGCACTTTTCAAATGGGCATGACTGTGAGTACAGGTACTGAGGTGATGTGTCTCTTTCTTGGGGCCCTAATATCAAACAGAGTATGGAGACAGGGGAGCCACTGAATTTCATCCCTAGCTCATTAGTTCTGTTTTATAGATGAAAAGTAGGTATAGGACTCCCAGACCATATAGCTAGTAGATAGCATAGTCAGAATTTCAACTCAGACCTTCTTTTCAACAAAGTCTATCCTTTTTCTTTCTCCTGCTCTCCTTTTCTCTATGTCTCTCTGTAGATATTATATATATATATATATATATATATATATATATATATATATACTCACATATGTATGTGTTTTTAATATATGTATATATTTTCCTACATACCTCTCTACCCCTCCCTTGTGTATTACTATGGGCAAATGACTAAACCACTTAAAATCTTGTATCTCATCTGTAATATTTTGGACTGATTTTAAAAGAACTGTTCCTACCCCATATAATTGTTGCAAAAGTTTAATGTGAAAATGCATGTTAAAAAGGACTAGGGTTGTGGCTCAGCAGTAGAGCACTTGCCTGGCATGTATGAGGCACTGGGTTCAATTCTCAGCACCACATATAAATAAATAAATAAAATAAAGGTCCATTGACAACTAAATATGTGTGTGTGTGTGAGAGAGAGAGAGAGGGAAAGAGAGAGAATGCATGTGAAGTGCTTAATGTATTGCCAAGCTAAATACATTATAGCTGTTGCTATTATTAACTGTTACCTATTGTTATCATTACTACTTGTAATAATTTACTTGCCCAGGAGAAATGGCAAAAATTTGGATTTTAGTAGGAAAATTTGCACTTTAGACTAACCAACTGAACAGTTCAGTTCTCTTGGTTGAATTTTAGGGAGAAAGTTTTTTATCTATTGTCTTGTTTGGCTTCAAGCACTTGGTCAGAGTTCTGTTTTACAGAATTCAATTTTAGACTTCAATTTCAAATGCTTCTGTCCTTGGTAGGGAACATGTTTGAGGGAAATCTTACTAAGGATTCTTATTTCGTGAGTCAAAAGGGGCTTATTGTCATTTGCACGTATTTTGTTCCCTCAAAACGCTTTCCTTCTTTCCACGTGGCACCAACACAGTGCAGAGTGCACAGACTATTATGACTCCCTTCCAGTTAACGAGGCGGATGAGAACCAGCCCCACTCCCAGGGCGTGACTGGCCTGCGGAACTTGGGCAACACGTGCTACATGAATGCCATCTTGCAGTGTCTCTGCAGCATCTCGCCGCTGGTGGAGTACTTCCTCTCTGGAAAGTACATGACAGCTCTTCAGAAGTAAGACCCTGTGTGTTCCCTGCAGTCAGTCCCAGCCCCAACCCCCCAGGAGAGGTTAGGGAAGGAACCCTCCGGAATCCCTGCAAAGGGTTAAACAGGCCTGTCGAGGCTGTAGCTCCCCAGACAACAGATCTAGGGTGAGTAAAGTGGGATGGGCAACCAAAAAATGAATGATGTTCTATTTTTGGACTGATTCCCCATGCTTGAGTGATTAGGTGCCTCTTTTCATTAAATCAGCCAGAAACATGCCCCTTCCTTCTTCCAAGGGATTGCAGTGAGGTTGCCACTGCTTTTGCATACCTGATGACAGACATGTGGCTCGGAGACTCAGACTGTGTCTCTCCAGAAATATTTCGGTCAGCTCTTGGCAATCTCTACCCAGCGTTTATGAAAAAGACACAACAAGATGCTCAGGAATTCTTGATTTATGTCCTAAATGAACTTCATGAAGCTCTGAAAAAGGTAAGTAGGGTTTATGGTCTTAGGATAAGACTGCAGTCTCATCAGCAACTTCTGTTTTTCTTTCTTTCATTTATTTAGTCAATGTTGCATGTTCCATGCCAAGCACTATTCTAGGTGCTAGGATACTTGAATGTACAAATGTATTCACCAAATTTCAGCAGAATCACCTGGGGAGATGGGATTCTACAGCACTTACTTGGTGTTATTTAGTTAGACTGAAAAAGGTCTCTTGGCATTTCCAGTGATTGGCCAAGTGTGGAACTACTAATCTAGTTTCCTTTGCAAATAAAAGCTGCATGAACTAGTTTTTAAAAGTGGAAATCATATTTTTTATAAAAAAATAAATTCCTAATGAGAAATAATGTAAAACTTTACAACCTAAATGTTTGTGATATCTACAAATCCTTGAAAATATCAGGCTTTACGTTACATTAAGGGACAGACCCATGTACTAAACATGTCCAAACTGAACATGCTGAACCTGAGTTCTTCGTTGGATTGGGACATACATTTGATTAAACTTGAAATCACCCGTTTCTCTAAAGTTCTGCCTTTGGTACTGGTCTGAGACCCATGCTTTCTGAAGATATGTGTTTGACTTGATGCAGTCTCCTTATAATAATGTTCCCTTGTCCATACCTAACATCCAGGAAATCATTAGCATTAGGATTAAGATCACAAGCTGAGCCACTAATCATAATCTTCAGTTCCATTTTTCGTTGTCAGTAATAACAAGCTATCCACAGAGCACTGTTTTTAGTCAGAGGGGAAGGTGTTGTTCAGTAGCAATCACGCATGTTCTTATCTGCTGCCAATCTGAAATAAATAGCATTCTGGTTCCCTGGGACAAACTAGAAATTAGGGGAAATGAGGGCATTTGGTTCCTGCCAGAGTGGAAAACCTTGGCAGCAAACAAGCATGAGGAAAGCAGCAAGCACCTGCAGGATGGCAAGCGCAGCTCCCACTAGAGCTGGCTGTGGGAGCTGATCCAGCTCCAAGAGCAGTCTACGGAGGCCCTGAAGCCCCTGAAAATTCTGGAAATGCTGTTTCCAGTATAAGCTGGATGCCAACCAGGCCACAAGACTTGTTAGGTCAGGCTGCCTTGGAAATTTAAGATTTGCATTTGTGTGTGTGTGTGTGAAAAATAAGTAGAACTTTGTTTCCATTCTTTCGCTGTTAACAGAAAACTGGAGAAAGCACCAACGTTTTGTATCTACCCTGAGATCAAAACCACTAACTACCAAGGGGAAGATAAAAGCACATTTCCCACACCCACTCAGCGGACAAAGCTATCAGGGACTGTGTATGTGGCCCCATCAAGATGAGGGCCAAGAAATGAGACCAGTCCGTTTCGTGATATAAAGTGGAACAGAACCTACACTAAGGACCAAGTGTGCCTATATTTGACACAGGAACAGATGGCTACTTATTAAAAAAAAAAAAAAGAGTAGTCTGGGGCACAACGTTCATTCATTCATTGACTTATTTATAAGTGTGTTTTCTATAACTTAAAGTAGAAAAGAGTAGGGAACATTAGCTGAAGAGACTGGGAAGAAGAAAGATTTATATTCCTTCATTTAACCTCTAGATCAGCTTTCATTGCCTAAGGTTAGTTAAGTAGTTGACTTACCCCTTTTCCAGGAAAAACTAGCTTCAGATTCCTCTATCTCAGTCAGAGGCTGTCAGATTGGGGGCCTGGACTTGCATTTACTAGTTGGGGTGTCCTCAGTTTCAGCTTTACCAAATAAGGGAAATAACTGAACCATCAAAAATCACAAATGACATACACTCTCAAGGAAGGCCTTGTTCTACTTATTGTCTGAATCCAAAACTAAGTGGTTTCTAATGGGAATATATCATTCTGATAGGAAAATGTCATTCTATTAAAATATGTTTTGAGACATTATTACGCTATATACATTTAAGATTTCACTATTGGAGTGACTCTGCACCACATGCAGCCAGAGGAATGAGAATTTGTGCTCCATTTGTGGACAATGTGTCAAAATGCGTTCTACTGACATGTATAACTAATCAGAATAAAATAAATAAATAAATAAATACATAAAATAAAACTGTTTTTTGATAACCAATAGTTGATATGAGGGTTTATTCTTGATTCAGTACCACCGAAGACGATCACATGAGAAAGGATCTGCTCAGAGATGCTGCAGGAAGGTGATTGCCAATGAGACGTCTATCATCACACAGCTGTTTGAAGGGCAGCTCAATTATGGCATCATATGTTTGAAGTGTGAGAACTGCACCTACAAGAACGAAGTCTTCACTGTCCTCTCCCTCCCCATTCCATCTGAATATGAATGTTCCCTTCAGGTAGGAAGCCCCTACTATTAAATGCTTTTTCTTTTCTTTTCTTATGACAGAGTCTTGCTGCACTGCCCAGGCTGGCCTCCAAACTCCTGGGCTCCAGTGATCCACCTGCCTCCACGTCCTGAGTAGCTGGGACTACTGTCCCGCACCACTGTGCCGGTCTACTACTGGATACATCTGTCCTGCTCTACCCTTAGCCCCAGATGTTCTCAGGGTTATTTTCTACATTTTTTCAGTCTGAGAAGGCAGCTTTACAACTTAAGAAATAAAGGAAGGAGAGAAGCTCATGATAATGGCATTTTTTGGAAAAGCAACTTATTAGCCAAAAGTACTATGGATTCAGGGTTTTTTTTGTTTTGTTTTATTGGTATCAGGGATAGGACCCAGGGGCCCTATACCACTAAGCCATTACCCCAGCTCTTTTTACATTTTATTTTGAGACTGAGTCTTGCTAACGGTTTCCCTAAGTTGCTGAGGTTGGCTTTGAACTTGTAATCCTCCTGCTTCAGCCTCTCCAGTCACTGGGATTATAGGCATATACCACCATGACCTGGCAGTGATTGTATTTCTAAACATACTTACTTGAAAAGCAGTCTCACTGTAAAATTGAAAAGTTAGGTGGGATTTTTACTCTATAGAGATGGTCTGGCATATAGGGAATTTATCATTTCTTGCAAAAACATTATGACCCGCCTTCACCCCAGAGTTCTATAGGTTCAAACCGGGAACTAAATATTAATAAGATTCTGACTGTAGTCTTGAGCTCTTATATTTTGGACTAATGCTGTGAAATGTGTTTGGAAGAGAGAGTGGAATCGTGTGCCGTAATTTGGTTCTCTAGTTTTCTTCACCACAGTGCCAAAAGTTAACGTGTAAGCAGGGATGTAGGGTAGAGCAGTGTAGGGCTGCAGGGGCCTGGGGATCAGGAAGGGACAGTAGATGTCAGAAGTAGTAAGTGAGGAGCATAATAGGAAGTAGGGAGCAATAATCTTCCTTGCAGAATTATATATGGATTTGTATTTTCTCTCTAAATTATGAAAGCACATCTGCTGCTCAGTTTTTCATTTTATTTATTTTCTTAGTCATGGGGATTGAACCCAAGGGTGATCCACTACTCAGATATACTCTCAGCCCTTTTTATTTTTATTTTGAGATGGTCTTGCTGGATTGCTGAGGCTGATCTCAAACCTGAGATCCTCCTGCCTCAGCCTCCCAAGTCCATGTGCCACCACAACTGACTACTGAAAGTTTTCACGTATCAGAATGAGATAACAGAATCCTGTTACTTACTCAGGACTGGTTTTTGTTCTCAGATGAAACAACTAAAGATTGGTTGAAAGAAATTCCAAACACTCTTTAAGTGAGGGTGCTGGCTGTTCTGCTAAAAACAAAATATATGCTCATCTTCCTCTTTAGGTTAACAGTGTGCAGAACCAGGGCCCTGGCCACAGTGAGGAGAGTATCTCCTGTGGATATGGGGTCTAATTTATCTCTGCCCTAATGTCTTTAAGGGCCACCACACCTGAACCCTCAGATATGGCCCTTTTTCAGTCATCAGGCCATTTTAGCGGTGAGAAGAATGTGAAACGGTAGTCTATATGATTCTGAAATAAACCACCAATATTAAGATGCTGATTCATAGATAATAAGTGAGATGAGCAATCAATCCATCTCAGTAACTAAGTGAGAAAGAGGCAGCTCTTCAGTTGGGTAGATTTTATAGCTGTCCGGGCTGCAGTGTGTGACACTGATATCTCCTGGTTTGCTGACTTTGAGAAAAGTTCTAATATAGACAGAGACCCCAGGATGCAGTTTATCCAGTTTGGTCACCAAATGCTTTTTCTTTCTCAACAGGACTGTCTCCAGTGTTTTTTTCAACAAGATTCATTGACCTGGAACAACCAAATTCATTGCTCCTTTTGTGAAACCAAGCAGGAAACAGCTGTGAGGGCCAGTATTTCCAAAGCACCAAAAATAATTATTTTTCACTTAAAAAGGTATGAATTTTGACATTTCATGGGCAGATTTTTTTGTACTAGGAATTGAACCCAGGGTCACTTTATCACTGAGAACACATCCTCAGTGTTTTTTTTTTTTTTTTTTGAGACAGGGTCTCACTAAGTTGCTTAGAGCTTCCCTAAGTTGCTGAGGCTGGCTTTGAACTTGTGGTCCTCCTGCCTCAGGCTGTCCATTCTCTGGGATTATAGGTGTGTCCCACCAAGCCTGGCTTGTGGTCAGATACTTTTGAAGAACTTTATTGAGATGTAATTCACATGACAACAATTCACCCATTTAAAAATGTACAATCCAATAGAATCTGGTATATTACATTGTTAATTTAAAAAATTGTGGCAATATATACATAATGTAATATTTGCCATTATGGCAATTTAAGTGTGCAATTTTTTAGCATTAATTACATTCACAATGTTGTAAAATAATCACCACTTTTCATTCTCCTAAACAAACTCTAACCATTAAGCAATAACTCTACACCCTCCCTCTCCTGGTCCTCTGTAACCCTAGTCAACTTCTGCTTCTATAACTTTGCCTTTTCTAGGTACCTCATATAAACAGTGTTTGTGTTTTTGTCTGGCATATTCACTTTGTGTAATGCTTTCAAGGTTTATCCGTATGGCAGCATGTACCAGAATCTCCTTCTGAGTATAATATTTATAATATAACATATTTACTATATTTACAATGTTATACTCAATTTCAATGCATATATATTCCATAGCTTGTTCATCTATCATGTGATGATGGACAGACATTTGAGTTGTTTCCACCTTTTAGCTTTTTTTTTGGTACTGGGGATTGAACCCAGGGGTATTCGACCACTGAACCACATCCCCAACCTTATTTTATTTGGAGACAGGATCTCACTGAGTTGCTTAGTGCCTTGCTGTTGCTGAGGCTGGCTTTGAACTAGCGATGCTCCTGTCTCAGCTTCCCAAAATGCTGGGATCACAGTCGTGCGCCACCACACCCAGATACTTTTAAGCTATTTTGAATTGCTACAATGAACACTGGTATAAAAAATATCTGTTTGACACCTCTTGATTAAATTATGGACTTGTCTAACTGTTGTAGTTCTGTCACTTTGGGGTTTAAAAAAATGAAGCTGCATTAATAAGAGTAGAAACATTTTAAAGCGATAAAAATCCTTGGTGAATTAAACCTTTTATCATTATGAATCTCTTTTGTCTGATTTCATGACTATCCAAACTTTGACTCATGCTTTTATTGTTTTTTATTTATTTTTTTTAGTTTTAGATGGACACAATATCCTCATTTTATTTATTTTTATGTGGTGCTGAGGTTCGAACCCAGGGCCTCACGTGTGTGCGAGGCAAATACTCCACCACTGAGCTACAACCCCAGATCTCATACTTTTATCTTATACCCAGAGCAAGAGAGAGAGAGAGAGAGAGAGAGAGAGAATTTTTTAATATTTATTTTTTAGTTTTCGGTGGACACAACATCTTTATTTTACTTGTATGTGGTGCTGAGGATTGAACCCAGCGCCCCACGCATGCCAGGCGAGCGTGCTACCACTTGAGCCACATCCCCAGCCCAACCCAGCTATTTTAGTTGTTTTACCTGGAAATTCACTCTAGTTATTTAGCCCATAATATTGCAAATACAGAATGCTGTTATTTATCAATTTGTTGATAAATGTGGTTTCTTGTATTAATTTTTATTGTTTTCCTGATTTCTTTCTAATCTTCTTTTTTTGATACTATCCTAATGAATGTCGTATTTTTGAAAAGCATCTGTTTGAGTCTTGCTCAGTTCCTATAGGTTTATGTCTAGGAGTGGAATTGATAGGTCCTATGATAACTGCCAAACTGTTTTCCACAGTGGCTGCACCAGCTTTCATTCCTTTGGCCATCTCCAGTGTTCCAATTTCTCTGCATCCTCACCGTCATTTGTTACTTTCCATTTTGTTGTTGTTTTTAACAATGACCCTCATCTTAGTAGCTCATTGAACATTAGTGACTAATGCTGTTGACCATTTTTCATGTGCTTATTACCATTTGTTTATCTGTGAAGGGCATGTCTCTTCAAATGCCTTGATGTGGCAGATAAAAAAAAAAATGAAAAGGACACAAGAAGTCAAAAAAGTTTTACAAGACATATGTTTTTGTCAATCTGGGGGCTATGCAATGATTGTCAAAATAGAATATATTTAGATCAGTGAAGATTCTAATCTAATTTGTCTAATTCAAATATCCAGTGAAATCTTCAGACAAACTTGGAATAGAAACTTTACAGAAAAACAGCAGAATAAGAGTGAACATAGTAGAATGAGGAATTTTCCAGGTAGAGAAGAAGAAGGGAATTCTACATGCAGATGCATGTTGGTTTGTCTGTTAGATAAATGTGAGGATGGAACAGAAAGGTGTGGTGATGAGGCAATGAGACAGGTGTTATCAGTTTTTTGTCTCTGGGACCAACATACAAACAAGAACAACTTAGAGGAGCAAAAGTTTACTTTGGGGCTCATGGTTTCAGTCTGTGTTTGGCTGATTTCCTGTGCTCTGGGCTTGAAGTGAGGCAGAGCATCGTGGTGGCAGGCCATGACAGAGGAAAGCTGCTCACCTCATGGCAACCAGGAAGCAGAGTAAGAGCCTGGGGAGCCAAGTATGATCCTAGAGGTACTACACCAGTGATCAACTTCCTCTGGCCACACCTACCTGCCCAGTAGTTAATCACCCAGTAGTTAATCAAATTATCAATCCACCTGAGGATGTGGTTCAGTGGTAGCACATTTACCTGGCATGTGTGAGGGCCTGGGTTCAATCCTCAGCACTGAGGAAAAAAAAAAAAATTACCAAGCTGGGGATGTGGCTCAGTGGTAAAATGCTTGCCTGGTATGCATGAAGCCCTGGGTTCAAATCCCCAAGCACCCCCCCCCCCAAAATATATTATCAATCCAACAAGTGGATTAGGTTATAGCTCTCATGATGTAATAATTTTACCTCCTGAATTAACGCAATAAAGCATGTTGTCTGCTTTATCCATCAGAGTTCTTAGGATATTAACCAGTTTTAAATTCTCAGTCTGGCAATTCCAAATCCTGCCCCCTCCTCCTTTTTTTAGTTATAGTTGGACACAATACCTTTATTTATTTATTTTTTAAAATGTGGTGCTGAGGATCGAACCCAGGGCCTCACACACATCCTAGGCAAGAGCTCTACCGCTGAGCCCCAACCCCATACCCAACCCTGCCATTTCTGATTCTCATGTTCTTTAAAATGTGCTCTTTGACTCTGAGTATGACTTGTAATTTTTTTTCCTGATAGTCGATAGGATGTCCTGCACAAAAAGAACAGCTCTAAGTAGGTCTTTAGTAATGTGGTGGTGAGGTGTTGGGGAGGGGGAATCGTTCTTGTCCTGCGGTTAGGTCTTGGTTTTTTTAATGCATCTGTGTCTCTGGACTCAGTGCACCTCAGCTTTTTTCTTCTTCATTAGGGAAGAGCATGGTCAGTACAGGCTGAGTTGGGTATTCCCCTCCCCACAGCTCACTTAGGTTGGTAAAAAAACAGGCTATGCTCTAGTTAACTGGTTTCTCCTGTGAGAAGACCCTATTAAGATTAGAGTGTTCCTGGTATATTTCAAAATGGCTTCTTTGTGACTCTCCCCACCAGAGGCAGGAGGAAATTTTCCTCTGATATTTACTGTGAGAAATTTTGGGGGTGCCTGGAGGCAAAGCTCACACAAGTGTGAAGGACCTTTGACTGAGTCCTCTAGAGTTTAAGGCTCAGTCTTGTTTGCATGAGTCTCCAGCACTTCTCCAATCTCCAGTTTTCCTATCACAGACTGGTTCCCTCATGGTTTCTGCCCAGCAGTTTCTGCTCTGGTAAGTTGTGATTCTCTGTCTGTCTCTCCTGATTTTGGGGATATCAGTTTGTTCTCCCACATCACTTCTCTCATAGATCTAAGAAGAGTTGATTTTCAGTTTTTTTCTCTAACTTATTGTTAGAGAAATGACTTTCAAGTTCCTTGTATGTGTAATCATAAAGTCTCCTCTTGTTTTGGTGTTTAAATTGTTCCAAATTGGCCTTTGGGAGCCCCCTCAAGCCTGGACCTAAGACCCCCTTAGTTAATTTGTCTGTTTATGAAGCTATACTTACTTAAAATGTATCCTTTTTAAGTGTACAGTATCTATGAATTTTGACAAATGTTTAGATACTCTACTGCCTCAACCAACATATAGACTAATTCCATTACCCCAAGAAGTTTTCTGATGGTTTTTTTCCACCACCCACTTCTCCCACCCTAAAATCCTGGAAACTGCTGATCTGATTTCCATCTCTGCAGTTTTACCTTCTTCAGAAAAGTCATATTCTGTGTAACCTTTTCAGTCTGGCTTCTTTCATGTAGCATAATGCTTTTGAGCTTAGCCCATGTTGTTGCATGTTTTAGTAGATCGTTCTTAGTGCTGTGTATTGTTAGTTTTTTAAAAAAATATTTAATTGTTGTCAATGAATGTTTATTTTGTTTATTTATATACGTTGCTGAGAATTGAACCTGGTGCCTTACACATGCTGGGCTAGCACTCTACCACTGAGCTACAACCTAGTCCCTACTGTTACTTTTTATGGGAGGAAAAAAAAAAACAGCTATTTATCCATTAACCAGCTGGTGGACTTTTATTTCCAGTTTTTGGCAAATATGAATAAAGCTGCTATTTATGCTTTATGATTTACATAAATCTATGCTTTATGATTTACATAAATCTTCATTTCTCTTGAAATGGTATCTACTCATGAGATTCCTGGGTCATATGGTATTGCCTTACTTTTTCTGAACAAGGTTTCTTGCTTTCTGACACAAGAAGACTCAGCCTTATCTAATAATCCCCTCACTTCTGGCCTTAATCAGTCATTTTTCTGAAATGTACATGATTATTTTCTTTATAAAGCTCTTGAGTGATTCTGATATAAGCCCAGGTTTGGAAACTTCTAATCTATATACCAGTACAGAATGTGAAAGATTTTCACCACATTTTCTTATTGAAACATTATATTAGGACCTCAGAGCTTGAAATCAGGACACTGGCAAGACAACCTGTGCTGAAATCAAGATAGGGAAAAGACGAGCCCCTGGGTTAGCATGACTCACATCTGCTGGGGCAAAGTTCTCAGGAGGTTTCCAGTGGGATTTCCCCTCCCTATGCTGAATCTGCTTTTGGTCCTTTTCCCCCACTAGGTTCAGTTTAGCTTGAATATACACTGTTTCCCCTCTGGATCCAACTCCTGGATCACACCAGTCTCACTTTTGGTGAGGCTTGTGGATGTGGTGTTTCCAAATACATTTAGATAAGAAAGAAGAAATTTATGTACAGGTCTGTACTAGCTAATTTGTCTTTATTTAACATTTATTTTTTAGGTGTAGATGGACACAACACAATGCCTTTATTTTTATGTGGTGCTGAGGATCGAACCCAGGTCTCGCCCGTGCTACGCGAGCACTCCACCGCTGAGCCACAATCCCAGCCCCACCAGCTAATCTTTCTAATAAATTACTTTTAACTGTTTTTGGAATTTGTCAAGATAGAGTTCATTAATGTGTGCCTCACAAACTTTATACTTAATATACTTTTTATTTCTCCAGGTTTGACATCCAGGGTACACTGAAAAGAAAACTGAGAACAGATATTCATTACCCACTCACTAACTTGGACCTCACTCCTTACATTTGTCCAGTTTTCCGGAAGCATCCCAAATACAACCTCTGTGCAGTGGTGGTGAGTAAAATACCTTGTACTTTCCCCACATTTGTCCTTTGAAGCTATAGTAGTAATGTGTGCCTGGCTTGCTGAACAAGAGCTTGTCTATAACATAATTTTAAAGAAAATTCTGGATTATCTGCTTGAATTCCTACTCTTTCTCTCTCTCTCTCTGACTTCTCCTATACCATCCTTTTAAAAACAAATTATGGAGCATGGGAACTTTCTGCTTTGACATAGAATAGTAGTGAAAGAATGAAACGACCCACCCACAGCCTTTCTGCTTTCTCTCCACTCAGGGCTATTTTGATGGAGGGACATTTGCAAATTGTGCTCCTAGAGGCCACAGATCTCAGTTCCAATAGTGTTAGGTTGCATAATCATGAGCCACTCAGTGGCCAAAGCCACTAATAGTCACAGACTCAATGCCTATATGCAGCCTGACGTAGGAAATCCCCAGGGGGTCCTTTGGGCTCTATGTCAATCGTGATCTGTGAAGAGTCCCTGAAGGAAAGAAAGCCTGAGAATAATTCAGATCAAATCACCAGAACCTCTCACTTCAACCAGCCCCAGGTAGCATACTGTTCTCTGGGCTTCTGTTCTGGATCATGATATCAAAGATCTGTTTCAGAATACAGTCATATTAGTCATGTTCCAGACTGGACCTGAAGGTCCAATTGCATGTGTATCAGAGGGGTTTGGCCCCTGCCAGAGCAGTGTGCTCCACCAGGCTTCTGATATACTGAAGGCCCATTGCCTCTTCACCTTATTGTTGAACTAACATATTCTAAAACGATAATCTTGCTGGTCTTCCTCATTAACATTGTTATAGGGACAGATGAGGCAAGGCACCAAAGACAGCAGGAAACAGTTTTATTTGGCTGCAGCCAGGTTCAGAGGGCACAGCTTCTGTTGTAATCAATCCCCTGAACCCCGAGTTCAGGCAGTTTCAGAAATTTATACCAGCATATAAGGGAAGGGGCTCAGAAGTTAACAGTCAGCAGAAGTTCACATAAAAGCAGCTTTTTCTTTCACTGTTTTGGGAAAGTTAACCCTTCAAGGGCAGTACCTGAGAAGGGGAGAGCTTCTTCCCCTTTTTCTTTCCTCTCCCTGCCAGCTGTTACCATGGAGCCCAATTGGTAACTTCTCTTATCTTAGAAATGTAGACATCTTTTTGAGTTCCAGCTCAAGGCCAGAGGCTTTGTTTACACATTTCTACAAACTACTATACTGGATACGTGTTTGTGAAAAACTAGTAAGGGGGTGTCCAGCACCTGGAGTGCGGATTTCTTCCCGGACAGTGGCCAAGTAAAACAGGGCTACATGAAAATTGGAAGTTTATCTACATTAAACTCTTTTGTAGAGATTTTTTTTTTCTGACAGTCCCAAAATCATCCATGGTGAAGATTTCTGAAGAAGCCCAGTTAAGACTTTTTTTTTTTGTGGAGAAAGGGGGTACCACTACAACATCTCTCAGAACCATACCTCCAAACTTTTTAAAATGATCACTTTATCGTTTTCACTTAAATGCTTGACATTCTCCTTCTTTCCAATTTATCCTGTCCCCAACTGGTTTTTCTTTCTTCACTCTATTTGGGAATCTACGGTGACATCTCTCTCTCTGTCATATCAAATGTAGACACTAATGTGAATTTCAAAATAGTACAGGAACTTCCCTCCCCTAGATTTTACTATTTTAACTTCTCATAAAGTGTTTCTCTTTTAAGAAAATTTAAGTGATAAAAAGCTAGAATTCATATTTAAAATCTAGGTACATTGTGAAAAGATACACATTTATATAAAGAATCTCCCAAGCCTTTAATAAATTCTGAATCTATTTAGTATTTAAGTTATTTTTAGTTAAGTGAAGGGCTAAAATGTATATCTTTGGAAAAGATATACATTTAGAATTCATGGCAAAATGATGATCCAGAGAGATAAGAACTAAACATCATTGACATTAAGGTGCACGGAGATAGGAAAAGTCCCTCTAGGGCTTTGCTACTGCAGGTGTGGTGCCCAGGATCCCTAGAGCATCAGTTCCCCTGTTAGAAATCAAGACTCTTGGGCCCCACCCCAGACATTCTGACTCAGAGCATGCATTTTAGCAAGATTTTGGTGTAATTTGTGTGCAGATTGAAATATGATATTCATTTAGACCAGAAGGGAAGGATACCTCCTCATCTTCCTTAGAGAAGAGATTTATGCTGCTTTTACTGAAGTCTTGAAGATTTTACTGCTTTAAAAGGAAGATACTTTATCTGCCAGGGTATTTATTCAATTTGCTTTACAGACACTTGCTATGTACCAGGCACTGTTCCTTTAATCTTCATCATAGCCCTGTGAGGACGGGCACCATTATTATCATCCCCATTTTACAGTCTGGCTGTAGGCACACAAAGGTTAATAATTTACCCCAAATCATACTGCCTACAAAGATCAGAGACAAGATCTGAACAAGGAGGCTGGCTCCAAACAGTCCTGCTCTCAGCTCCACATCCTGTTACCTCTGGCTCTGAAACATGTCTCTATAGGAAGCCCAGAGGAAGCTTCTACCCTGCTCCTTGTACTTTCCCTGCATTTGTCCTTTGAAGCAATAGTAGTGATGTGTGCCTGGCTTGCTGAACAAGAGCCTGTCCATATATGTTAGGAAGAATATCTTTTTTCCTTATATATGATGTTCCTTCAAATATTTGAAAATAGCAATCATACTCACAGTATTTAGTTCCTTCAACCATCCTCAAATGATTGGTTTCCAGAAAGACTATTTTAAAACTTATAAAACATTTCAGGCACAGAAAACTAAATAGAATAAGTACTCAAATTACTCTCAACCTACATTAAAAAACAACATATCGTAGGTAGAATCAGTCTCACGTATATATTTTATTTTATTTTATTTTTTAGTTATAGATGGACACAATACCTTTATTTTTATGTGTTGCTGAGGAGCGAACCCAGTGCCTCACATGTGAGAAGCTCTACCATTGAGCTACAACCCCGTTCCTCATGTATATCTTTAATGATCCCACTCCCCTGGCCTCTCTGATGTTACCATTATGTGAACTCCATGTGTATTTTTCCCATGTATTCTTTCATACTTCTTTGCACATGTATGCAGCTGTACTCATCAAGTTGTATTGTTTGTATGCTTTCTGTGTCTGCTATATTGTATGTACTGCTCTATATGTATGCAATGTGGAATGTTAAATTGAGTTGATTAACATTGTTTCTTTTTTTTGTGATAGACATTTGTCATTTACTCTCACCTATTTTCAAATATATTATACATTATTGATTATAGTCACCAGTTGTACAACAGGTCTCAAAAACTTATCCTGTCTAGCTAAACTTTTGTATCTTTGACCAACAACTTTCCATTACCTGTTGTTTTCCTTTCAGCCTCTAGTAACCAACATTCTACTGTCTTCTTCAATGAGTTTGACTTTTTTTAAGATTCCGGATGTAAGTGAGATCATGTGGTGGTGTTAATTTTTTTTGTACCTGGCTTATTTTACTTAGCACAGTATCCTCAAACTTTATCCATCATTGCAAATTGAAGAATTTCTTCCTTTTTAAAGGTCCAGATAGTATTCCATTGTGTATTTATACTACATTTTCTTTATACATTCATCAACTGATGGACATGTAGGGTGATTAAGTATGTGCCTTGGCAGTTGTGAATAGTGCTGTGATGAATGTGGACCTGGGGATATCACTTCCTATTAATTTAATTTCCTTAGGATACATATCCATAAGTGGGATTGCTGGGTTATACGGTGGTTCTATTTTTTATTTTTTTGAGGAAAATTTAAATCATTTTCCATAATGGAAATACTAATTTACATTCCCACCAATTGTATATAAGAGTTCCCTTCTCTGCATATCCTAGCACTTGTTATCTTTCATCTTTTTTTTAAATTGATGTACACAATGATGCGATTCACTTAGGATTTTTCATATATGTGCATAGAAAAATTATGTCAGATTTATTCCACTGTCTTTCCTATTCCTATCCCCCTCCCTTCCCTTCATTCCCTTTTGTATAATCTAGTAAACTTTTCTCCTCCCCCCTCCTTTATTGTGATTTAGCTTCCACATATCAACAAAAACATTCAAACTTTGATTTTTGGGGGGATTGGCCTATTTCATTTAGCATGATAGTCTCCACATCCATCCATCCATTTACTAGCAAATGTCATAAAGTCTTTCTTTTTTATGGCTGAGTAATATCTCATTGTTTATATACACCATAATTTCTTTATCCATTCATTGTTCATGGGTATATAGGTTGGTTCCATAGCTTAGCTATTGTGAATTGAGCTGCTGTAAACATTGATGTGGCTGCATCCCTGTAGTATGTTGATTTTTAACTCCTTTGGATATATGCCAAGGTGTGGGATAACTGGGTCAAATGGTGGTTCCATTCCTAGTTTTTTGAGGAATCTCCATGCTGCTTTCCAGACTGGTTGCAACAATTTTCAGTCCCACCAATAATTTTTGCATACCCTTTTCCCCAAATCCTTGCCAACATTGTTGCTTGTATTCTTGATAGTTGTCATTCTGACTGGAGTGAGATAAAAATCTCAAGTGTAGTTTTGGTTTGCATTCTCTAATTGCTAAAGATGTTTTCATACATTTGTTGATCATCTGTATTTCTTCTTTTAAGAAGGGTCTGTTCATTTCCTTTGTCTACTTATTGATTGGGTTATTTACTTTTTTGGTGTTAAGTTTCTTGTGTTCTTTGTATATCCTGGAAATTAATGCCCTATCTGAGGTGCAGGTGGTAAAGATTTTCTCCCATTCTGTAGACTCTCTCTAAATACTCTTAATTGTTTCCTTTGCTGTCAAGAAGCTTTTTAGTTAGGTAAAATCCCATTTATTGATTCTTGATTTTACTTCTGGCACTTTTAGGAGTCTTAAGAAAGTCAGTTCCTGACCCAATATATTTAAGTGCTGAGCCTACATTTTCTTCTAGTATGTTCAGGATTTCTGTTCTAATCCCTAGGTCTTTGATC